AAAAAAAATGCAGCAAATCCACAACAGTTTGGATACTAAATGCACCTTTTACACACCCCTTCAAACAAAGTGTTACATGCTCAAAAACAAAGGCAAAAAACCACAGTTTGCTATGGATCAGAGGACATGGCCACCAAAAACTACGAGAAGCCGGTTTCCAGAGTAGGAGCTTCCTTTATGGACCGAATGCAGGAGGTGAGTCTGTCGCCGTGAGAGGTGGTGATATGTGGGTGTCGGGGAGAGACGGCTAGTGGCTGCAGAGAGAGGTCTAGAGAAAGCAAGAGAGAGAGAGAGAGAGAGGAAGGAAGCGCATCCTGAGGACTCAACAGGGTCCCATCAGACCCTGATTCACGCTGCCTCTTGGCCAACCAGGGACCACTGTGGCAACAGTCCAATGAGAGGCGCCGCTGAGCTCCTGATATATTTTTTTCAATAATATTGGCAGTATCGTTGTTTTAAAAAAAAAAAAAAAAAAAGATGGAGGAAAAAGGTTTAAAAGCAAACTCTGTAAAGCATAGTAAGACTGCAGTGAATGGCGCAGTCAGAGCTTGATGTCCCAGAGCTCCAAGAGGGATTCAACTGCTCCGCTGCACTTAAAAATAAAATCAATTACTGTTGGCTCAGCACTACTGGGAGTTAAGAAGAGAGAGGGTGGGAAGCTTGGCAAAATATAGACAAAGAAAAACGTAACATGAGAAGTCACCAGTTCAGTCCATCGGATTAGTTGCTAAAGGTTGTCTACCAATCATCATCATCATCCGTGTGATTTTTTTCCCCCATTAAGTCAAATAAAACAAAACCTAGCAGTTCATGATCGGTTGGGGTGAGCCGCAGCAACGCAGGTGTCTGAAATGTTGAAACTGTAGAGAGGTGGCGAGACCTCCACTCTCACTCATGACACCCATTCATAGAACCGACTCCCAACCACGCAAACATCCCGCCCCTCCCTCCCCACCCACCCCAACCCCCCAAAAAATAAAACTAGAAAGAAACAAATAAATCCAGAATAGGTGAGCCCTCCTTCTCCTCGGGCGCAGAGTCTGACTCGACTCTGAATGTCCCATGTGCAGTGGAATGAGAAGGAGAGATGAGATACTGGTGGAAGAATATGGGGATTATGTGGCTATAAATCGGAGCATTATGGTGGTCAGTTGTCAGCTTGCAGATCCTTTAACAAAGGAGGACCTCAGGTCAATAGTGCCCATCTGCTGAATTCCAAATAAAACTTGATCTGACGTCTAATAAAATCTGTACACTTTTTTTTTTAAAGTCTTCATGATTAGTTTGTCCAAAAGGGACATTTTTTCCATTTCCTTATTTTTTTTTCCTTTCTTTTTTTTATTTTTTTTTTTTATCTTTCACCGTATATTTATTAAATCTTTATCTGCTCTTTAATTTAGATGCTCTGAGTCCCATCGTGTGTGTGTATGCATTTGTGAAGAAAAGACGCCGCCGGCCTTTTGTGGATGGCTTCGAGGTTGCTAGCAGCACTTTTTCTTTCGTTTACTGTTCCGGGTGAGTTTGACCACGTCGTTCTGTTGCTGCTGCTGCTGCTTGGCTAGCACCTCCTTCTTGGCTCTTAGCACTAGCTCTGTGATGCAGTTGAACATCTGCAAAAGAAGCAAAAACCAACATCAAGCAGTGACTACAGGAGCCATGTGAGCAGTTTATGACACAGAATCAGGCTTTTTGAAACCCTATTCAGAACGGACTTCATCAGTCTGTTCAAGTGAGGGCATCACTTCATGCGGACACAGGTCACATTTATGTTTCACTCATCGCTGTATTCAGACAAACCCACCAAAGTGATACTTGCGAGTGGATTTGTTTCCAGGTGGTTTGGTAAGCTAAGCCAACTTCCAGCTGTAGCTTCAAATTAAATCAACAGCTATTATAGAGGAATTAATCTTCCAGTCTAACTCTCATCAAGACAAAAAGAATCCCATCAACTAGTCAACTGACAGAAATTTAAATCAGTAAAATTCCAAAGCTGACCTACTATTAGCTTTTCAACATGACATGACATTAACATAATTTAAACAATTTTAAACAATTTCTAGACCAGTCATCTCAATTATTAACTAAAAAAAACGGTTGGCAAATGTATTGGTACTGAAAGTAAGCTACAGCTGCAGCATAAAAATTATTCTTAATAAATGGTTTGTGCAATAGGCAGCTGTACATTCAGCACACTGACAGTTACTAAAGAGCATTCAGACGTTCAGCTGAGCTGCTCTGCATACCTGGCATGTCCAACAAACTGCTCCAGACAAACGCATCAGTCTGCAACAAGTCTGAGGCCAGAGACACCGAGAACAATGAGTTACCTCTTCAACGTTGATGTTCTCTTTTGCACTTGTCTCAAACAGGCTGATTCCCATCTGCTCTGCAAACTTCTGCGCGTCAGTCGTCTCGACCACCTTGGAGTTGGGGTCATCGTTCTTGTTTCCCACTGAAAGGAGAAAATATTGCCAACGTGATGCAACAGGGCTGCCTCGTGTCAAAGGAGAGTAAGGAAAGATTCATCACATTGCTTGCAAATAAACAAAAGAGTGCATTAAAGAGAAGGATAAGCCAAGGAAGCCAAGGTGAAGAGTATCTGGACTTTTTAAACGTGCTTCACTCACCTAATATTCGGCACACGTCGTCACAGTTCTGGTTGATTTCATGTAACCATCGTTTAACGTTGACAAAGGACTCGGCACTCGTGACGTCGTATACCACTATGACCCCATGCGTTCCCCTGTAGTATCTAAAGATAAAAAGAGAGAAAGACACAGTCCATCAGGCTTTCATATTAGCACCTCAGTGAGCCAAAAAATACATCCACATATTGATGTGGATATCTGATCTGATTGTTTATGATACTGTTGATTATGTTTTGATATTGATCTGATGTGGAACATCTCAACAAAACATGTTGTGATTGTGAGTCCGAAGAAAAGCAGAACAGTTAGTTCAAAGTAATACATAAACAGTTGAAATCGCTAAAGGTAACAGATAAATAGCTCGTGTAATTAGGTAAGTCATTTATAAATAAGTTAAACCATTTTAATTTTAACTACAACCAGGAAGGAACAAATAAATAGCTGAAATAGCTGAAAGTAATGAATAGAGAGTAAAAATAAATAAATAAAAAATCAAACAACATGAATATGAATTCATCATAAAAAGAATTTGCTTAAAGTAATAAATACACACTAAAATAGCTGGGTAAAGGTAACAGATGAGTAACAGAAATAGTTACAAATAATTTCAAAAATAGCAGAAATAGATAAGTTAGAAGTACACAGTGGAGATAGTAAGCTGGAAGTCAGGAATAATTAGAAGAAATTGTTTGCTAAGGTACTAGATAAATAGTGGAAGCTGGAGGCTAAAAACAATGAATAAACAAACAAAAACAAAAATAAACAAAAATTATTGGCCAAAGGTAAAGAATAAATAGTAGAGGTTATCTACTAAAAGTTTACTAAGAGTAATTAATTACTAATTTTTGCTGATCGGAAATTGTAAAAACTGCAAACTACAGCAAGGGACAAATCAGAAGTAGTTAGACAAGTAATGAATGAACTGTAAAAAAACATTAGCAAATGGATAAATAGAAATTGCTTGTTAAAATGTGACAGATAACCAACTAAAGATAATGGATAAACAGTAAAAAAAAAAATACTTCAAGGTAATTCATAAATACTAGAAATTGCAAGCTAAAGTAATGGAAAAACGGAAGAAGTGGTTTACTAAAGGTTATGGATAAATAGAAGACAATATTTTACTTAAGGTAATGGATGAATAATAAAAAGAGTTGATGGTAGAAATAGCTTAACTTAATGAGCAGTCAAAATTGCTAAAAAGTGCTCAAATGATTAAAATGGCTTAAAGTAATGGAAAAATGATTGAAGCAGCTAAACATAAATGATGAATGAAATAGGAGTAATGCATAAGTGTTTAATTGATGACTTCAAGTTGCATCCAATCTAAACCTCAGCATTACAAATACAACCACTTTGACCCATTTATCAACAGTTCACTTGGAAAAAAAAAATACTATTATCCACTAATATACCACCAACTGCTACAAGATATTCGCTGTCAAATCAGTTTAAATGAAGACACCTGGAACATGACAAGAAGTGTTATTGAAGAGGCAGCGGAGTTCATCTGACAGTGCTGCTGGACACCACTAAAGTAACTAATGCTCATGTCCAGCAGGTGGAGGCAGATCTCAGTTTGGAAGATACACAACTTAATCATCTCAAATGTGCAAATATATATATTTAGCTGTCCAGACTGAATCAATGAACTGCATCAAAAGTTAGCACTGCATCCAAGTAAAATGACCGCTACAATTATGCACCACTGAAATACATCAGGGCAGAGTGTGTGACTGTGAAGAAAAGGAGGGAAGTTCACGAAAGCCAGCATCTGCCCCACACAGACAACTGAACCAACTTCAAACAGTAGCCAGACCCCAGAAAGGGAGCATCCCCAGTGTAGCTGCACTGCGCCAAACAAACACAAAGAGCCTTTTGTCATGCTCACTATGTGTGCGCGTGTGTGTGTCAGTGTTTTTGCCTGGCGTGACAGTGTGGGGATACAGTGTTGTCTGGACATGTCCCCAATGTGCAGCAGTAATGGGCCACCAGACAGCAGGGGAGGACGGCTGTGTGTGTGTGTGTGTGTGTGTGTGTGTGTGTGTGTGTGTGTGTCTGCTTGCTCAGTGCACATGAATAGAGAACCATAAACTGCCAAACACACAGCAGGCACGTGGGGCCCCACCTGATGTCACCTTTTCTGCAGTAAAACTCAGCACAAACAGGGCAGTAAAATGTTAATATGCTGGACTTTTCACTCCAAAATCATCATTCAAGGGGCTCCCTGGCGGCCTCAGGGCCTGACCATGTGATCACGATGCCCTTGGTTCGAGTCCGACTGGGGAGCTTTGATGCACGTCCTTGCCTGTGTTTCTCTCACCTCATTTCCTTCTTGTCTCAACAGTCTAGCGTAGTTACTTGTGATTTTTATAATCTCATTATAGACTCTTTTGTTTACAGCCCAAAAGCAGCACATTCTTGTGAGTTTTGCAAATAAAAATGAGAATAAAATCCATTGTAACTAACTAGAAGAACACTAAATTTCATGATTTATGTGCTTTTGTTGTGCTGTGACTTCAGAAGTCCTGATGTGGACATGAGGCTGATGGCTGTAGGCCTGCCAGAGGTGCAGGATCGGACACGTCGACCACCTCAGGTTAGTCTGCCGAAGCAGGTCACTGCCCGTGAGCCATCTCCACTGCGAAATTCATTTAGGACCTAATAAGGCACCATGCCACTCTACTTCAGCAGAGGGAACAAACAGCCTTAACAGGCTTCCTGCTTGGTGGAGGGATTCCTGCAGAACGACTAGAAGCAGTGCTCTTAAACTAGGACGGTCATACTCCTCAGGGACTGAAGCATCAGCACTGCCGAGGATTTAATGCTTTCTGGATGATTTGGGTGTTTTGATCGCCCTTACTGTGGCAGAGCTGGTGCATAATAACTGTCAAACATGCCCTCCTGGTCTTGTTGGGGACAATATTCTCAAGGCTTGGATAGTGACGTCTTAATAAGTGCAGGATCTGTCTGCTCCAGGTAAAGTCAAAAAAGAGTGAGTAGGTAAAATGACTGCAGTCTGAGCTGTAGATCACATCAACGCTGTTTCCATCAGTGCTGCTCAGGTACTTTCTTCTCTACATGGTGAGTAACTGCATATTTATGCACACCTCTTGCTGCACTCTAATGTCAATTCGCTCCATATAAACTGCATAAAATGAAAGTCCACATTCCAGCAATAGACTATATTAAAGAAGGGGATGTAGTCTCAAAGTCAAAAGGCCTTAAAGGTACATTATTTCTAATGGCCAGCAGGGGGAGACTGAATTGGTTGCACAAAAAATTTACGTTGATAGTATTCCATAAAAAATACTTCTACTTTTCAGTAGAATTGTTACCTAAAATATAGTTTTCCTACTGACTTCTTAATCTTAATCACTAGTCCCATGTCTCCTTTAATACAGTATGATGTCATCTTTGTACATTATGGTTCATTATATAGTTAAACAGACAATAAAGCAAGGTATGCTTTAGGGTGGGGCTGCCTTGTAATTGCGATTGATTCAGCATTAGCTGAAAACATAGCTTTTGCTATATTACCAGTACTTGGCCCTGCTCGGCTGGTAAACTGTGTTAACCGTAGACTGTGGGGGTGTTAATCCATGTCCTAATGCGACTGCAGCTTCTCAGTTTGTTTCATGGTTGTGATACATCTCCTCCCCACATCCACCCTCTTGTCTAAATCTGGTCACTTTTGGCTCCAAAAACCAGAACAGCCAAGATGCCAAACTTAAGGCTTCCAAACGGTAATCCACAAAAAAATGTGTGAAGTCATGACGGTTACGTCCACTTCTTTTACACAGTGTATGACTCCAGCTGGGAACTTCACAAGTTTTGGTCCAAGACACAGAGCACATGAGTAACTGGCTTTCTCGCAAAGTGAAGGACACAGGTGGGCAAACAGCAACAGCAGCGCATTACACCTCAACAGCTGGAGAAACGCCGCAGTGATGAAGGAAAATGTGCCATTTGTTACCATCACTACTAACTGTATACCTGGAGTGTAGTTTAAAGAAAGGTGGCTTTTAAGCACCCATAATTAATAACACCTAATGGACTAGAATCTGTTGGCTGTGTAAATAAGCAACTAGCACGTAGCCATGCAGAAAGCACTGAGCTTGAAATATCTCTGTCAGAGAAAATATCACAAAGTTTGTCTATCCAGAAATGTCTCTGATACTCAAGACAATCTAACAACATAAGTAGGGCTCATGGCAACACAGTAACGACATCAACATAGATACCGTTGAATGTTGAAAATGTTTCTGAAAATTTGAGGATCAAATTCAATTGACGTAAACTTCCTTCACTCAGCCAGCAATCTAAAAACTGGCTAGAGGCTAACTATTGCTGCATCTTCCAACCTCACACAAATCTAATCCAGAGTCTTATTCATTAGCATTGTGCTGCGAGCTGCATGAGTCAAAGCAAATGATGTAGTGTGCTTTGAAAACTTGCCCAACATGGAAAATGTTTCCATTCAAGAGTAGTCAGCTGCTGCTGGTTTTATTCATGTTGCGACTTAGATGAGGCAAAACTGAACAGATATTAAAAAAAATTAAAAATGACTTGGTAGTCAGATTTAGCTCGTGGGCCTTGTGCTGAACACATGTTTTACAACTGTATGTCTACCAGTGAGAACCCTTGGTCTTGTGTTGCAACATAAAACAAAAATAATGTCAGGTGATAAAAGTCTGCACGCCAGCGTGAGAAAATGCACTATATCTGAGTCCCAGATTTAGAGGATAAAACCAATCAGTTTTAATGTTTTTATTGTTGTTTTCAACAGCAATTAACCGATACAGACCAAAAACGACAATAAAATGATCCTACTAACAAGTATTGTCTATATATCCTGATACTGCTTGTGTCTATTTGTCATAAAACGGCCCCTTTATGCACTAATACTTTTGGTAGAGCAATGAAGGTCTATGGTTAAGACACATAATATCCATTATGTTTAGTCTATTTAGGTGAGTTTTTGAGAAAAGATAAAAACTAAAGACAGTGTTTTCTTTTGAAAAGGTGTGGCTCTGAGGCACATGGATGCTATACAACACTGGACAGCAGTGTGACACTCACTACAAGTATAAGAGGGCAAAGACGCCAAGCCGCCTCCGTCATGTGTCACTACAGTATGCGACCAGGAGCCTCCCTCTCACATCTGTAATTAAGATCTGTGGGGAATTCCACCCAGTTTCATAGAGCAGCACTGGCTTACTCTAGCTGTCTGCAAACTTCTTCCTCAAATAAATACCTAATCTGAGGACTGCAATAAGCTTTTCTTGGTTTCAGATTTGATTGTTTAATGAAAACAAAGATCGTCTGCTAAGAACCCCATGTGAATGTGTGTGTGGGTGTGTGTGTGTGTATGGATCTACTTACGTGGAGGTGATGGTGCGAAAGCGCTCCTGCCCTGCTGTGTCCCAGATCTGTAGCTTCACCTTCTCCCCGTTGATCTCCACCGTCCGGATCTTAAAGTCCACACCGATCGTGGTGATATAGCTACCTGTAAACAAATACAAAAATCTGCTTTAATGAGCAGCAACTAAAATACAGAAAGTCTTGGATTTAGCTGAGGTAGAAACACTCACCTGAAAATGTGTTGTCTGCAAATCGCAGGAGGAGACTGCTCTTTCCCACTCCTGAGGAGGAAACACGCACAGTATGAGATTTATAGTACAACACGTTTCCAAAATGAAACCCATATACAACCAAGAACAAATGTTCATTCTTTATGACACTTGACTTAGTTCTCAGACTACATTTGACTGAGGTGTTTTGGGGGCTTTTGTGCACCACGATAAAGCCACCTTCAATAGGGTTTTGGTTTCACACAGTTAACCCTGAGCGACGGCAAATGACGACTACAAACCGAGAAAGGGGACTTCAACCAGAACAGTTGCTCTAATCCTTGTGTACCGAAAGATTTTGTACTTCAAGTCACACAGACAAAGTTATACCTGTTGCACAGTGTGCATGTTGAGGGATTTAAGGTAATCAAGGCTACACCCTGCATGTTCATTTGGATGACGTTTGTAGCAGCAGAACAAACAATTGCAGCTGGGAAGGCATCAGTAACAGGCAGAGAGGGAAGGCCACAAATGGAACAATTAGATCTATCTGGGTTCCTAAAAAAAATCACATCTAATAGTCACAAAACAGACAAAAGAAGAGGACAAGAAAGAGAGACAGGGAATGGGGTTGAAAAGGAGGATAGCTGAGTAAGGCAATCACTTTTGTGATCATATATCAGTAGGGTGTCTTCAACCAATTGGCTGTCAGGTTACAAGGGCAAGTTAGGAAGTGAGTGCTGCCCAGCTGGGTGGGACTCAAGCTGCAGCCCTGTTACTTAGCCTACCTATTGTGTTATTGTCATCTCATGTTTGATTGGTCCCTACATAAAAAGCTCTCAGGTTCCTGTGATCTCCACACTACAGAGTTTTGTTCAAACAAACAATAAGCAAAGCTTCAAAGCAGAAAACAGATCATCAGCAATAATATGCCATGCTGTCCAGCTGCTCCGCCAAAAATCCCCATGTCTCCAAGAAACTAGAACACTTGGGGTATCGGTGATAAATCCATGACACGTCCACTGTCAGCTTTGCTACCTGAAGCTGAGTGTGGGCACATCAATGCTGCAAGATTCTTTGTGGGCCTCATAAAGGAGTGTCAGTAAACATCTGATGCATTTAATGAAATGCTTAACAGAGTTTGTTGTTACACAATTGTGCTTATGTCAAAACCACTTTTCATGAGCAGACTTGTGCTACTGTGACATGTCCAGCTAAGCAGTACAAGTCAGCCTCAGAGCCGCTCAGAGATCCAGTGTGAGGACGAGAATGATTCTTAGCAGCCAATCTGTCTACATGCAGCTGAAGAGGGGCAGAAGGTCAGTGCATCTTTCCCAAATAACCTCTGTGCAGCACTGCAGACAGTTGTACTTCCATGCTGCAGCTGACGGGACACTGGCCCTTGTGTGTGAGATGCAGTGAAGGGCTTGCTGTGCTGCCTTGTCCTCTACTGTGAGCAGCCAGCTGATGGGGTAGTGCCAGGATCGGGGCTGTCAATGAATGCAAAGATCATTGCTCACAAAGACTGAGGGTGGAGTAGCATTAAAAAGGCACAGTTTCACTAAGATACAAGAGGAGCAGCTCTTGTTGCGTCTACACAGATCTCTATTATGTATCTACCTGTAGCTGTGACATTGCTGAAGGTAACCACGTAGTCAATAGTCTTTGAACCTCTACAGCTGGCAGACAGATGCACGAAATTAAGGGATACTTCAGCTGATATTACTACTTTGTCAGTCTAACTTCAGTACAGTTTGACTCGTTGGGTGCAAACCAGTGTTTGCAGCGCAGCATTCCTCAACTAACAAGCAGCTAGGACTTTCATGCTAGCCGGCTAACTGAATAACAAATTCCATTGCAATAACTTTAACTAACTTAGTTAACTACATGGGCTTAAAATCTTTATCTTGCATAGACAAACTCATTAGAATAAGAGCCCCTCAGTCCAGCAACCGATAAGTATCAGTTTCTACATAACCAAGCCAGAAAGTCTAATGTTAGCCTAGCTCCCAGCTAGCAACATAACATGGCTAAGAGAGGACACAAACAAGAGGCCAAAATTAGAAGAGTACTAGCACCCCCGTAATGCTACTGAGGCTACAGTGTGTGTTTTGTTATGGAGCTATAACTAATTTCTCAAGCAATACAAAAACAAGATCTTGAAGAGACAAACGGTGAAGATCTGGAGGCGGTATCCGGCCTGATCGGCTGACATGCCCAGCCCGGACACACAACCTCCGCCCTGTCACTGACTCTGAAATATGGCGGTGTGTACATTTCACTAATTATTCCCGTGCATGAAATCAAGAATATTACACAATAAAGGCGTCGGGGCAGCACACAGCGGGCACAGGGGTGTACTTCTGCTTCTCCCCTTGGAAAAAAAAAACACGACAAGGCCCACTTCCCGTCCCGCATCCCCGGCGTCGGCTTACCGCTGTCACCGATGATGAGCAGCTTGAAGAGGTAATCGTAGTCCCTGGCCATGCCGGTAGCTGGTGGCTCTCCCCCGCCTTGTGCCGCTTCTTTGCTCGGTGTGCTTTCCGACTCCCTCGGCCCGTAAAAAACTCACCAGCCCCCCAAATCCCCCTGTGTGAAAGAAAACGACCACTACCGATGCTAGAAACTGCTAGCCCCCGAGCCGGCGGCGTTTTTTCTCGGGGTTTCGCGGCGTCAGCAATCCTCTCCCTCCGCTGCAAACAGCCGGAAACTCCGCTTCCTCCTCTAGTGGAGCTGCACCCAACTGTGACCCGGTCTCACTGCGCAAGCTCCGGCTACAGCACCGCCGGCCCGTCCCATTGATGAACACTGTGCGCAGGCTACTGGAGGGACAGCAGACTTGTAGTAGCCCGCGAATTGTCAGCATCCACAACCAGGATCCATCACATGTCCTTATAACTTACTCTGAACAAGCTAAATCACACTACACACACTGATCACCACCAGTCATGTAGCAAGATAATTTATCCCTCTATTACCATGACTAGTACTTCATAGGTAATTACAAGAGGGGTCCCTCAAGGGTCTATTTTAGGACCAATTCTATTTAGTATCTATAATAATTATCTTCTTCAAGTGTTCAGATATGTCTTAAGAGTTTCAGTAAAAAGCAGCTGGACTTCTCTTTTTGGTCCTGAAGGCAGTTAATCTCTGATCCAAGAGGATTCTTCATCTCACCAGACCCTCCCATTTGTATAGTTCCAATAAATTTATTGGATTCAGAGATCACTGGGGCATATATAAAGCTACATTGAAACGTGTGTTTTACCCAGGTCTATTGCTGTGACCCATCTAACAGTACTTTCCTGATAAGATATTGGTGTATTTCTTGCCTTTCACATCCAAAGGGCGTCTTGGATGAGGAGAAATATCTTCAAGAATCAAAAAGAGAAGTCCAGTTGCTTTTTACTGAAGCTCTTACGATCACCATGGCTTGGATTACTGAGAACCTACACAGACATAATATAGTGTAATTTTTACCCATGCACAATCTAAAGAACATACTACAGCCAACAGACAACAGCAATAAGCAAGGTATGGGACTGGTTGGGACATTTTACTTTGATACATCTGATGTGTAAATAAAATCAACTTTTAAAAAAAAAAAAAAAAAAAAGGAAACCCAAAACCCATACTTTAACAAAATGAAATAATAATAAAAAAACATTTCCTTCAGAGTTTTTGGGTCAAACTTTTGTGATGCTTCAAACCCAAATAAGATGGGGTGTGACACTACATGAGGGCTGAGATTCCTGTCAACCCCCCTGCACATGTAGTTTATCTGTATATATTCTGCACATGTACTGTCATCCTAAAACTCAAACAGCAGAAGGTAGTCGCAGAGAGCTTTGTGAAGTTACAGTAACGTGATGAAGTTTCAGAGAACCATGACCCCACCCTTAAGAAAATAGCTTTACAACATTCCACACACCACATTATGAAATCAAGATCTTTTTTATTTTGTATTGCCTTTTTACAACTGTGTCACTGACATAAGAATGATTGTATTCTTATAAGAGGTTGCTTTCCCCAAACAACTAACTCTCGCACACAAGGTCCAAATAAAAGTTTAAGAGAGAAATGCTGTTTCATTACAGAGGCAATGCTTGAAATCATTTTGGTAAAATAAGTAGCAAAACATTGAAATATCAAAACAGATTTGGCATTCCTAATGTAGCTCAGTACAGGAGAATAACCTGTACATCGCAAGATAAAATAAAACAAATTATAAATTGGGCTTAAAGGCTGCTAAAACAAAGATGTAAAGTGAGAAAGAAAACAAAAAAGAAATTTGTTGAGGAATACAGTATGTGGGAAAACCAGTCAAAACACTGCTCATCTCAGCCTCAGCCCATGAAGGGCAACATGTGTGCCGAGTGTGTCTGGGGTTCTCATACACGGGAGATTTGTTTAATATGTCAGTCAAGCGTCTGTCGACTTCTGCAGATATCATTTTACTGTTTAGTCCTGCTCCATCATGTTAGGATAGTGTCATCGATCTCTTCATTGGAGTCTGGCAGGCTGGCGATTTTCTTCAAAGACCGGCGGTGACACTCTGACAGCAGGTCGTTACTTGCAGAGTCCAGAATGGCAGTGATACTCTAAAAATGCAGGAAGCGAAAAAAAAAGTTAGAAATAAGACATCATGTATTTTCTAATATATATATATATATATATATATATATATATAAATGACAGCAGTCTGTAGCCCTACCTGCATAGTTTCCTCTCCCTGGCGCAGTCGTAGCAGGTTGACGATTGTGTGTTCGCTCTGGGCTCTGACGCTGGTGTTCTTATCCTTGGTGTTGTCCAGCAGGCTCTTCAGCAGCGGCTTGATGAGACTGGCCTCCATGGACGGTGAAGGGTCTTTAAATACCCACCACAGCACCCGCTCTGTCACCAATCTGATGTCACTGGACTGATTCTGAAGACACTGCAGGGTCACACAGACAACACATATCACAACACAAAACCTCCATCTACTACACACTGTACAAGAAGGTTCTCATTAGGAGTGGGTCAATACCGGTTTTCGGTGCCAATACACATTGCAACTAATAAACAAGACTGGTTGTGGATACTTAAAACAGATGTAAAAATGAAAATCTTGGTCTAATAAATGCCTTTTTTAATTTATGTTTTACATGTGTTTCATAAAAAGAGAACTTTTCAACATGTATCCTTCCGCAGCAATTGAGAGTGCTGTGAGTGGGACATTGCTTGACGTCACAGAATAATGAGTACAAAAAAAGAGCAGCTGCATCAAGAGTCAAAATAGCATATTGCTAAAAAAATGTATTTTATTGGAAATCAATTAAGCAAAATAACTATGGGGATTATTGGAAAAATGCTGAATATTGGATCTGATAATTAGACAACCCAACAACTGGTCAATCTCTTCTTCTCACATTATTGGTCTTCTTATACGCCTTCTCATATGAGTCCTGGCCTCATGTCTTTATCAGCGTATATCAACATATAATTTGGTAGCTCACATCCATCAGCTTGATATCAGCTGTCATTATGAGATTTTGGTGTAAACTGAATGAAGACCTCATGAGGATTTTTGACTCAAGTCAATTTGAACTCAGCCCAAACCTTGTCTTATCAATACAATACATTATGAAGTGTAATGGTTTTTGTTTTGAAATACAATTTTTGTTGATAAATAAATTGTTATTGACAGTGACGTAACGGTGTAGCTGGAGATAATCCAGAGCGATCCTGTCCCCTGATTTAATGTGGCTTATTTCCCTGTTGTTGACATCATCGTCATGGCAACATTAAATGCTGGACAGAGTGCTGTTGCTTCACATATTCACGCTACACCACAGAATTTGCTATCAGTTCCTACACTGCAGGCACAGAATGCATTTTGTTTTTTCCAGGACAGAGTTTCTACAACTACTGTAAATTTAAGAATATGTCTGAGCTAGAAACAAATATGGACTCACTGACTAGTGTCCTTCTCAATGTCTGATGCCCCAATCACAAGAGAGGTGACGTCTGTGGTGTAATCACACATCAGAGTTCAGGTGTCACACTGATGCAACTGATTCTAGGTCCTTTTTCTCTACAGGCTCAAACATATTTTGATTATGTTGAACTTGAATATATGTTTCTTACAACTACTTTTTCTTTCTGCCACTTTGTGCTGGGCATGGAGCTATTATGACTTCATTAGAAAACAAGATTGATGAGAGCTGTGAGTGAAAGTAAGTGCTGTAAAGCTAAAGCAAGCTGCAAGACACTGAAACACTCCACAGAGTTAAAGGTAGCTGACCACTCTCTGAGGATTCAGTGTTACAACCAACTCTTTTCATATTTATTTGACCTATTTTAATTTACAACATATTTGTGCAGCTAAAATGTATTTGTCACAGCAACAGTATGCTTACTGGAACAGGTTGCTGCTTTTCAGATCATTTATAGAAAAAGGAATTACAGAAGCAAATTAATGAATTGTGAATCTGCATAAACCCAAAGTAGGTAAAATTCAACACTTGTGATTCAAACACTATAATCTGCAAAATCAGAGACAATGAGGGCTAAAAATCTTTTTAGTGGCTTATCAATAGCCACTTTCTGCTCTGTACAAATATACAAAAGGAAAGTAAATTAGTAATTTACCTTCACAAACTGTGTGATGATGCGTTGGGAAACACTACTGCCTCCCTCCGTCCTGAACTGATGTCTCATCAGATATCCTACAGCTCTGATCCCACTGGTAGCAATAGGAATCTGAAAGAGGAACAGGATCAAAGTTTGTACTGACACAGAGGTAGAGAACAGGATGGACATACAATGTAAGAGAACAGTAAAGGACGTGTGACTATAGCCTATAATAAATATGCTCCATGCACATGTAAATCATAAACACAGGACATAATGTGCAAATACAGATTACTTGCATCATTAATTTCTGTTGAAATTTAGGCTAAGCCCACATTAATACATCATTTTCATTTTGAAATGTTTTAAAATGTAAATAATTAGAGTGGATCGCTGTCTAATGAGCATTTTAACACTACAACAGAAATAATCTCTGACTATACCAACATGCCTTAAATCCATATCACATGAGGTAAAACTTTTATTGGAAGTCATTTAGGCTGATGTCTGTGTTGTGTTTTGGAAAAAGACAACATCATGGGACATCGATGTAGCGAAGGACACAGCGACTAAAAAGAGCCAATCAAAAAGTGACCACAAGTGTCTGCATCATTTTTTCCCCAAAAGTATCAGTCTCTGCCTGTTCAGACAAATTCGCAATTCAAAGAGTTTTCTAACTAAAACGTGGTCAGCTGCGTTTGCAAAAGCCTCAGTTTCAGTGATCCTAAAACATCAGAGTGGCCTGGACAGTTGGTGTAAACATATTTATAGTTTTGAGTTATAAAAACAAACAAGGTTAATGTGGATGTGCCTTAGCTAGATAAATAATAGATAGATAATACTGAACGGTGTAATAATTTACTATATGTAGCACTTATTTTGGGAAGCAAATTGTGACCACAATCATGTCTGTAGAGTAAATACATAAGCAACAGTCTGTCATCTCAGCTTTGCATATTGACTAGACAAGGGAAAAAAGCCAGGCTCCCAACGTCCAAAAGCCAAAATTCTGCTTATCAGCACTTCTAAAGCTAACAAATGAATATGTTCTGTATCTTGTTGTTTAATTGTAAAAATGACACGCGGTTTAATAGTGGCTTGAACTATTCCTAGGCCAGGAGTAGCAACTTCCTGAAGGGCTGATGTTGCTCTGAGGCTGCCTTGCAACCAGCAGACTCCAGGAAGTCACTGCTCCAACAACACACCTCCCCATAAAACCACAGCACATTTTCCAAAATGTCAAACTATTCCTTTAAAGGCAAGTTTTAATGAGTTGTGAAGAAGCTTTCAGCTCACCCGGTCAGCAGTGGCGTTGGCCAAAATTGTCTCAGTCACAGTATCACAGTACTCCTTCCCACACAGCTTCTCAGGAGCTGATTTGACGGCGATGGCCAGAGCCAAGCTACGACCATGACGCACCATCCAGTCCACACCTGACACGTCCGCTAAAGGCAGGTACAAAATTCATTAGTTCACTGTTGCTGATGCACAAAGAGAAGCAGCAAAGGAGAAAAGATAATCTCTCACAGGCAAAGAGAAGCTTTTATTACATTGTTAAGTTGCACAAATATATCATGTGAAGTGTTACTATAAAACATGTTTATAAAATACATATTTTGAAAAAAAAATCTTCATTGTGTAGATCAATTCATTTGCAGTAATAAGGAGCAATTAGGTCTACTAATAACATTAAAGTTTACAAGGCAACACTACAAACACATCATTGGCTGAATTTAGAAAAGGGAAGATAACTTTCCAGGTAACTACTAACCCAAGACATGCTGAAGTAACACACTCTTCAGCTCCTCCTCTGACAGGAAGGCACACAGCTCACCAACACAGCCAGCTGAGGCCATACGGGTTGCATCCTGCACGCACGCACACACAGAAACGCACACACATCAGACAGCCAGACAGTGACATGCTCTGTGTCATTTATTCTCAAACTGACATGGAGGCTCATAACCATCTTTTTAGAAAACCACATCCTCTCCCGTCTGACTTCCGTTTTTTTCGGCAGTGATCACAGAGGAAACTACACTCCTGAGCAACCCTCTGTGACATCTCTGAATGCTTATAAAGAATGCTTAGAAATGCATGTTGTATTTCTGTGGTAAATATTTAATGTGTTCACGTGCAACTGCAGACTCTGAGTGGGAAAATAGGTGTGTTGCTGCAGATTAAAAAAAAAAAAAAAAAAACATTTTTCAGCTCTGCTCGACGCTGCAAGACATCTGTCATACCTCGTCATGTCCCAGCATGCCTAGCAATGTGGTGGTGATGTTTTTGCGAATGGCTGGGTCCACCTTTGATCCAGCCCCCTGGATGACAAATCTTAAAGCTTGGAGCATAGTCTCCCTGTAAGCACAAATATAAGAATGACAAACAGGCACCCTAAAAACCCTTTTCATGTATTTGAACAAAACTCCATAATCATGCTGGACTTTTGAGGTCAGAATTGATTTTCATATTTGAATGTTTAAAAACAAACAAACAAACAAAAAAAAAACATCAGTTGAAACATCTTTGGGGGTAATTATCTCTTTAAACAGAACTGACGTGATGTACTACGTAGGACATTACACAATTAAAAAATACATCTATCAGTGCTCTCTGGTGGACAGCTTAAGTATTGGAGACACCAACATATTTATCAGCTGTTTGACTACTTTTCTCTACTTATAATTGTTTATTTTTTTTACTTTTTCACTCATTCCATCCACATTTCCATTAAACATTATACTGGACACATCTGCGTCCTTGTTTCCTCCCTGCGCGTATACAAACGAGCTGACTTCATACTCACATCCTGTGAACCACGAGCTGACACCTTTTTGTTACTTATGACACCTGAAGTGCAGTAATGTCTGAAACTGAAATATTAAAGCTTGAACAGAGTTTAATCAGGCTGCCTTTTCAACTATTTTCAACTACAGTTTCTTTTACTGTGGATATACAATGATTTCAAACAGACAACACATATTCAATCACAATTTGGACTGCTATTTGGGATGGCTGTTGTTGCTTGTTGAATTGCAATGGACTGAGTGCACACCTGACTCCTGAGTCCTCGGCGTTGCGGATTGCTGACAGTTGCTCTGTGAAGAGCGGGTCGACCTTGGTGTGGATGGAAACCAGCTGACCCAGAGCCTCTGCAGCCCTCAGCCTCACTGCACGGCTCGAATCCTGCAGGGCCTTCAGGAAGGTGGTCTGCAGCTGTGGCAGGAAGGGCTTCAAACCGATGCCCACCTGGAGGAAGAGTACAGTCCAGAGGTTAGAGTCAAACAACGGGACATGGCCTCCTGCCCGATATTTTGATTATCTGTGCAGAGAATTGATGGTGTATTTGGCAATTTAGGTGTTTCATTAGAGAGATGCAGCTATAGACCTTCGCCAGCAGCAGGGTCAGAGTCTCCAGCAGGGCAGTCTTCACTGTCCAGGCAAAACGGTCTCCCAAGATTCGAATAAGAGGTCCAGTGATGTTGACCACAGATGGCCGTAGAGCTTCAGGAGAGGTGAGTTTAATGACACCACCTAATGCTTTGGCTGCCTCTTCTTTCTGCTCGGGGCTGCCAGTGAGGACACCTTCTCTCAGAACGGGCAGGATACAGGTCACACCCTAAACACACAAAGAAATGACTATAAAATGATGAACAGGACTGCAACAAACTGTTATTTCCATTTCTGATTGATCTGTCAATTAATGTTTCATAGTTAACCTATTAATTGCCAACTATTAACATGTCAGCATTGTATATACGGCAATATTTGCGTAAAAAATTACATTACATTTTAGAGTGCACAAGGTGACACATACTCAAAAGCCCATATATATTAGATGTACAGTGATATGCATCTGATGGCAGCAGCAAAGCCACACATTTGTAAAGCACGACATTTTTGCTCCACAAAGGACTTAAACATTTAATTGATTATTCAAAATTGTTGTTGACCACATAGTTTATTAAGGAGGCTTTAATCAAGGCCCTGGGAACTCTCAGTTTTGACTGACTGTTGGGTAACATTAGTTCTTGAATCTGAACAAAAGACATCAGTGAAGGAGGTGTGTTGGACATCCAAATCAGCTAAATGTAGGAGGAGATAGGAGAGGACTTTTGCAGGCATTCTTTGCCTCTGCATCATCTGTTCCAATTATGGAACAGCAAAGCTAAGCTGTGGTAGAACTGATGCTGCATTATTGAACAGACAAATGGAAAAGAACCACTTGATTGATCACTGCTGATCTGTGGTTTCCTAAAATGTGAGCACAGTTACAGTCACTGTATGTATTCTGTTCATAGTATTGTCAAAGTAAAGTTGTAATCATTTGACTCATGGGTTTAGAGAGGGAGAGAGAGAGAGAGAGAGAGACAGAGAGAAAGAGAGAAAGAGAGAGCGAGAGAGAGAGAGAGAGAGAGAGAGAAGAATGAGATCACCACGCTGCAATACAGTCACAGCATATGTCAGGAGCTGCCGTCCTACCTTCTTGGGCAGACAGAAGCCAGGCAGGTGCTGACCCTTTACATCTGCAGCTGCTGATCTAATGTCTCGATGCAGATCATCGATTAGAGCCAGCTGGCTGCTCGCGTCCAGTTTCTGCAGAAGAGATCAAAACAACACTGCCTTCACATTCACAGTTTGATCAATAAATAAACGATGAACGTCCTGAACGCCACTGTTTTCTTAGCACTATATCTTGTATTTATGAACAGTGAAACTATGGTGTTGTACAGTAATTATATAATCAAGACAAATTTGTGTTGAGTTGCTCATTTTCATGTCAACATACCTTGGTGATAGAGTTGATGGTGTCCCAGCTCTGAGACAGGACCTCTGGGTTAGAGTCATTAAGAAGGCGAATGAGACCTGTCAACAGTGTGCGTGTGTGGGCGCTGTAGTCCAGGCGGGTGCGAGCGAAATAGGCGTTGAGAATGGTAATGGCAGCCTGTCTGAGGCCAGGGTCGGCTCCTCGGGTGGCTTCCAGCAGGTCCTCGATGATAATCCGCTGGCCCACTTCATCCTCCACAGAAAGGATCACTGTCTGACAACTGCACAGCTCCTGAAGCGAGGGCAACACTCAGTCACAACATGTTTTTAGAGAATACATTTCAAACAACAATCAACAATTAGCAATTATTATAATAATCAAGTAGATATGTGAGTAAATTATTCAGCATTGCTCTCTAAAAGCATAAAAACACAACAGCAGTACACAGAGAACAGAAAAATACAAACAGTCAAACTTTATGATGACTATTAAAAGGCTAAACAAAACAACTGGGTTTTTAACAGGGTTTTAAAGACCATCAATGAGATGCAGGTGATCTTATACTGAGTAGGAAAGAATTCCACAGTTTAGGTCCAACAAGAAGCAGAAGTGGGGAACAGTGACTGGTCAGCAAATGGCTGAAGGGATGTCATGAGAACAGATACCTCAGTACTGAGTTGATGTCAAAATTCTAACAATGCAACAGTACTTGTTTTTCTACAGTTTAGTCAAAGCTGTAATTACTGGACAATGACAATGTAAAGAATCCGGCAGCAGGTGCAGTCATGGAGTTTTGGAACAAATGTAGGAAACTTATTTGACCATCTCAAAGAGAGACATTCAGAGCTGTTCGCAGAATTCAAGGTTAGAGAGTTATGATCAACATGCCATCACGGTGTTCATATTTTGAAATGAAACCAATGATGACAGCTGCATTTGTTGCAGCAACGCTCCACAAACAGTGTTCACAAACATTAAGTTTACTTGTTCGCGCTAATGTAGCCAGAGCGGATTGCTGCTACATTAGTTTGCTTATCTCATTACTGTTCAGTCGGTCAGAATATAAAGTTGTACCTGTCGTTGTGTGTGTTAGTACACTGTGTGTGCAGCAGTGGTCTATTTAATAATAATAAAAAAATAAACAAGTATCTGTATTGGTTTGTTATTTTGGTATTGAACTTGGTATAGAAAATCAGGGAAATGCAGTGGTGGTCATTGTGATTAAAAATGAAAGAGGGTACTGCTAACAGCTGCTGAGTCATTTTTTGATCCAAGTTTAAATCAGAGTTAAAGATGACACCTAGTTTATGCATGAGAAGTTGTATTCAGTGACCGAAGACAGTTGTGGAGGAATATCCTGCCAAGAAGTTTTATACTGGTTTAGCTACAAGAACAATTTTGGCATTCAACGCAGTGCTCAACACATAAAACAGTGCTGATCACCAGTTAAGTCTGAGTTTGTGTAACAACGGAGGGAGATGATATATTTTGCCAAAAAAAAGACCCCAAAAGAAACATATAAATAGTGAAAATAAAACAGGACCTAATATGAAACCTTGCTATATACCACAGGAATGTGGAAGGCAGCAGAGAAGTTTAAAAGAATCAAGTGTGTTATCGTTTACATATAATGATGCGTCATTTGTCCAGGAAGCTTATAGGAGTTAATCATACTGTATGAGCACGAGGAGAGAGGAAAAAAAAAGCTGAAAACAGAAGTAATAGCCATTACAGTTGGTGAATGCTGGTTTTACCTGTGCTTCATCCTCTGTTCCCAGCTTTCCTTTAAGGGAAGAGAGCAGGGCAGGCAGGATGACCCCAAGGTGTCGGGTCAGAGCGTCTCCAGCCACAGCAGACAGGAAGGCCAACACTCTGGTGTTCACAGGAGGAGCTGTCAGCTGGTAGGACCACAGAGGACATTTACTTTAGTAACACAGCTGGACACAACAAAATTTGAAAAAGATAGACATGACTGAAGTTGAAGTGTTACCTTTGGAACCAGATAAGGCAGCACAGAGCGACTCTTCACTGCCATGACTTGCTTCAAGCCATCCAAAGCAAACTCAGCTGTGTCCTCATCGTCCTAGGAACACACATTGAAAGTGTTAGTGAAAATTCAAATTCCAATGTGGATTTTATTCTACACTGTGTCCCGACTCTCTCACCAGCTGTTTGAGCAGGGTCGGCAGGATGTCATCCAGCGCCTGGTGGCCGATGGTTGCATGGAGCTGCTCAAAGGTCTTGGCTGCTGCCTCTCGGACCTCCTCCAGAGGGTCACAGAGAGCCTTCCTCACTGTGGGGACCAGTGACTCAGAGAAGACAAGCACCTACAGTACAAACACCTACAGGTTAATAAAGACTCAAGTCCGTTCCAATTCTCAGACGTCTGGCCTAAGCTAGATTTCTAGGAAAAGGTCTAAACAAGGCCACAAGACTCATTACTCTTGACTTACATTGTAAATGAAAAATAGAATAGACATTCTGTACCTAAATTTAAGTCTTGACACCCAATACTGTTGGCAATGCGGCTAAGACTTGTGATTTTGACTGATGTGGAAGATTGATGTAGGGGGATTGATAAACTAGCCAAATGCTTTGCCTATCAATCCCGCTTTGCCACACTTGCTATAATCACTATCCCTAAAGAAACAAAGAAATGTATGTTTAAGCATCTGTGTGACTCACTGCGTCTTTGCTGGTGGACTTCATGATCTCACTGAGGCCAATGCAGACACCCTGCCTCTCATCGCTCTTATCAGAACGCAGGCCCTCCTCCAGGATGGGAATGATCTCTGGAAGAATCTTCTCTCCCAGCTTCCTCACCAGATCACCCAGCGTCCGAGCAGCAATCTAAAATCATGGCAACATACAGTGTCGATATAAGGCTCTGTGTGGGTACTTTCACCTCAACAGGACAAAACAAACATTGCTGACAGCTGCAAACCAGGGATCATAAAAAACAGGTTGGGTTACAAAGAGGAAAAGAGTAATACCGTTCTCTTGTCAGGGCAGGTGGAAGCCAGGAAGCCCAGCAGGAGAGTGAAGAGAGTTGGGAGGATCTCTCTGAGAGTTCTGGGGGTGTTGGACACCACGATCTTCCACACGTGGAGGGAAGCTTGTCGAACCACCAGCTGAGTATCTGAACGGCCCATGTAGAGGCCTGAGAGGACACGGTTACGACGCTCAGCACCCAGAGCAGAAATGATAGCCTGGGAGGGAGAAGGTCAAAGCTCAGCAACATATAGACACTTTTCAAAAACACACCACACTGCTGTGATGGCAAGTACAGATATAACATTGACAAAATGAATCCATAGAGGATTTCTTGAAGAATAGAAGTGTGCTCATACTTTATTGGATGCAGCTGTTCCAAAGTTGTCATCCTCTGAGGCGGTCTCTGTGGTCATCTTTCCTGTTACACCAGAGATATGGAACAGCAGATCTCCAAGCAGCTGCACAGAGCTAAACCTATAAACCAACAGCAGCATGAATCCGCAGTTAGTCAATGTAAGAGGAACATTACTTTTTTAAAATTGTCAACATAATACTGTTTACTATCTCTGACCTGATTCTCCACAGGTCATCGAACAGGCCTTGTTCCAGTTCAGGAAGCAGCAGTGCAATGGCGGTCTCAGCATACATGCTAATGATTCTTTGGCCAGCTCGCAGTGCTGTGTCTCTTACATACTCGTTCTCATCAGCCAGAGCCTGGTGTACAGGAGAGAGAGGATCAGGACTACTGAGCTGCAGTGAAATGTGCCACGCAGTGAGTAGTTAAACCAGTCTTTCAAAGAAGGATGTGTTCAACCTAAAATCCCCTTTCACACAACCAATACACAATACATTTTGATATTTCTGTGATGATGAGCATTAAAAAAAATCATTAATTATACATTAATTCTACAAAGTCAAAGACATATAAATTTGGTTTATTAACACTGTATCTACAGACGAGTGTCCAAGAGGGGCCGATCTGAGAGAACAGTGTTTTCTATGCTAACAACATTTAATTATAGGCAATGGTTGTTTCAACTTGTGCAGTTAGCAGAAGAGTTAACTTTGTGGATTCCACGTTGGCAGTGAAACAAAAATGTCGACACAGCACAGGATGTCCACATGAACAAGATGAAAGGACAGTGATTTAAAGAGACCATTTTATGCACATTTACAGGTTTATGGTAGGAGCTTCAGTAGAAATCAACTGGAAATCTACTGAAGCTCCTAGGATTACCATGACCTGGATGACTGAGAATCTACAGAGACATATTAACAGGTTTATAATTCATTTTTGGGGTCTACTAGAATGTTTATTAGAAGCCTTAATGTTCAAATCTTTTCAAAAAAGCCCAGTCAGCTCTGATTAAACAACCAGCCCAATTAAAATGAGACAAGATCGGTTACATATCACTACCTTAGATATTTAAGTTTAGGAAGAGAGATATTCCTCTGGCAGAAGTGGCTCTAGCAATGAAAATAATGGTGCATTGCACATTCATTATTTGAGGGCTAGCCACATGGAAAATGTTCTATAAATGTGTTAAATGGCAATGTAGATAAGTAACAGAAGCAAAGTCCTGACTTCAAGTGAGGCATTTTAAGGAAGGTAAGGAGCAGTGTGAGAGAATAACTGCCTTTGGAGTCGTCTTTCCCATTGATACGTTTAAGCAGTTTAACACAATGAAGGAGAGGGAGAGACCCAAAAAGCACAATATGGACACTTTACAATGCTTGTCAATAATAGAGCTGCAGAGGATTTACAAAGATCAAGTAAGGAGTGAAAATTAAATTGCAAAAACAACAGAAACCATTCTGAGAGCCATTACCTTGAGAATGCAGGGGATGATGGGCCCAACGTATGGGGTAAATTTATCTCCAAAGGTGAGAGGAAGGTAAATGAACATCATGATGTAACCATCTCTGACGTGGGAAGCAATGTCCACCTTGCTGGCAGTCTGCACTACATCTGGCATCAGCTTGTCCAGCTTCTCCACTCCCAGTCCAGCCATCACCTCAGCCAGACCTGAAAAGACCAAAACATAAACCATCAGTGGGTCAGTTGTTGAATGATATTAAGCACAAGACAAAAAGGAAAAGTGGAGGAGGAGCAGACCTTGTGCAGCTCCAGAGCGGTCAACAGAGCTCTGCTCAGAAGCCAGCGTCTCCATGAGCCATGGCAGTAGGTCGTCAAAGCAGGATTCACCCATCCCCTTCACCATGGCACCCAGGGCTTTGGCTGAGACTGTACGTACCTGGAGAGGGGGAGAGAGAGGAGATGCAGCTACAGCTTCGGCTTCACACACATAGAACACATAGTATTATTGTGGCGCTGTTTATCACCACTAAACGCACCTCAGGCACTGGGTCCAACAAGGAGGCCTTCAGTCCAGGAATAACGCTAGGCAGGTAGGGTGACAGATCCTATAAGCAATAAAACATACAACATTACATAAAAAGGCTTTAAAAAAAATAAGAAAAAGTCTTTGAAATACACTTGTTAGAGGGATATTTAGTTAGCTCTGTGTACCTTCTGGTCAGTGAGGGAGTACATGTTACCAATGATCTGAGCGGCCATCTTGCGGGTGTCAGTGGAACGGTCTTGGAAGGCTCTCTGGACGATGGGCATGATGAGGGCCAGGGAGGGAGCGTCGATGAAGTGCACAAACTTGGTGTCCAGCAACGTCTGCAGGCACGTCTGGGTCTTCCTGGATGGATCGGTGAGAGCGTCCAACAGAATGGGGGTGATGGCTGAGAGAAGAAACATGGTTGTTAAAACCTAGTGCAGAAGGCCTTCTATGGTGGCAGCTCTGCACTGTGACTGAGTTACTTACCAAGGATTTCAGGGTTGCGAATGACAGAGCCAATCTGCCGGAGGGCCTGCTGGCCGGCTTTCTGCACCTTCACATGGGAGTCGGTCAGCACCTCTGTCAGCTTGGGCACGATGCTGGGCAGACAGGAGGACAACTGTTTGGGTGCACAGTAAGCCATGGCACCCAACAACTCCACCGAGCCTGGAAGAAAGAGAGGGGGGAGTCACAAGAAGCTATAGTATGATGGAAAGTGCTTTGATTGTAATTGTCACCAATTCTGTGAATAAATAAGAAAGAATTAACAAGTTTCACAAAGCTGTTACAATAGCTCTAAATTAGACATCTGAAAGCTATTCTTTAATCCAGTGGTTCTCAACCTTTTTCAGTCGCGACCCCCAATCTAACATGCACTGCTGTCCACTCCAATGATGTGTGAATGACAAGGACAGACATGAAACTAAGCTAGTGGACAGGTTCGTTGTTGTTGTTTTGGTGTAGCCCAGTTATGGCCGACAGTAACCAGGTCAGTAAAAATGCCTGTTTGAGACCAACCGCTCGTCGTTCCTCTAATGTCCGGTTGGAAGCTACATTGATTTTGCGCATTTATATTTTTCCAAAATGATTTGGCGACCCCCAGAAATAATCTCGCGACCCCAAGGTTGAGAATGGCTGCTTTAATCAATGGTTATGTAGAACATTGAATGTACTGTCGTGTGTATAGTAAGGCATTATTTTACTTAGCTTTCTAAATAATAACCCAATATGCCAAAGAACTGATATGACCAAATTATTTTCCATCCATTGCCACATTCCAGAGCTGTCTGGGAAACCTGTGCTGGAAGGTGTTCCTCACCTGCTTTAGTCCTCCAGGACTCCTCCTCCAGGGCCACCAGCAGGGAGGGGAGCACCAGCTTCACTCCGTGGGCACTCAGGTTCCTCATCACAGCTTTGGCACAGTCATCTGCAGCCTGGCATGAAGAGCAAGTCAGGGGTTAAACTTCATACGAGGATCCTACTCATTTACACAGAAATTCTATGGCTGATCACGCGACACGAGCCGAGCTATGTTTTAATGTGCATAGCACAAACACTGGATGTTACAGAGAGGCCTCAGAGCAAATCATCTAGACATTAAATTGTTAATGAAATGCATTTTACCACTCTCTGAGAGGTCTTTGTCCAGAAAGTGAGATATTGATACAGAAGAGACAGTGGATTTGGGAAGTAACCTTCCCGCGTACCTCTCGAACATACTGGTTTCCATCTCCAAAGCAGAGCAAAAGGTGTGGCAGCACATGGACCACATACGGCTCGAACAGCTTCCCCAACATGTTACACAGCATCTCAAAGGCAAACAGTGCGCCTGCAAGAGGAAAACAGCTTGTCAGCAGCTTTTAGACTTTCTGTAGCAGAAATTTTAGTGCCAATATGGTGGCCTCTTGTAGTTCACAAGTCCGACAAACACAGTTTCCACATTAACAGGTGGATTAATCCTCACTGACCTTCCCTCCTTCTAAAGTTTTTCTTGTCCTGGATGGCGTCAGTTAGCGTAGTCATGATTTCCTGCTGTTTGAGTGCCAAGATTCCGAGACCTTTGACAAGTCCAGCCAGTCCGTACGCTGCTCCCTTCCTCTCTGCATATTTGTCGCTCTCCAGCAGCAGCTGCAGCAGGTTTCTTACAATCCCCGCAGCGTCCTCCTTGATGGCAGGAACTAAAGGAGGCAAGCAGCTGGCCACAGACTCCTGGACCTATAAAGGAATGACAAACCACATAGGATAATGTAGGAAATGGTTCATTTCTGTTCAAACAAAAAGGTGAGGGGAAAGTAATGTGAGTATCAGCAACATATATCTGTATATACATGGTTATAATGGATAGTATTAATACAAACTATTAAACGCTGAACACTCACAAGATGAGAAGGTAGTGGAGAGCAGGTTGAGTTTCTTACCTGCTGTGAAGGTGTAGAGAGTGCAGTGATGAGCTTGGCCACGATGGGTTTGACCTTGGGGTCATTTTTGTCCAGATGTTTGGCCAAGGAGCCCATGAGAATAACCACACTCTGACGGACAGAGTCGTAGCTGGCATCTTGTGGGGCATTTTTCAGAAATTCCTCAAACACTGGCAGCAGGGAGCTCACATTATCCTGACACAGAAAGGCAGAGGTACATTAGGCATCCACAAGATATAAATAACAGCTGGCTGGGAAAAAAAACAAAGAAGTGAGCAGTACCTTTCCATGTGTGTTAAGCGCTGAGAGGGCAGCGTCCAGCATGCAGCGGCGCACCTCAGTGTGGCGGTCATTAAGAGCATCAGGAACAAAGAAGAGGAACAGAGGGGTGACCTGAGATTCATCCAGGTACTGTGAAAGTTTGTTCAGAGCCAGAGCGATGCCACACCTGATGAAAATGGAGGAAAAAACAAAAGAGTTCAGTGCACAAGAAGGAACACAATATATTTACAAATACTTAAAGTTGATGGTGTTTGGCATTCCCTGTATCAATATTGCAAAACAATATCAGATTTTAAAATAAGATATCAATAAACAAACTGACTAGTCTGAGTGAATTGTAAAATATATCTAAATTTATGGATGAAAGTAGCAAGACAGCTCTCTGACAAGCATCTTCCAGGCTTTGCTGTCATCAATATTCCTATTTTATTGGCATCCTACATCTACTTGTTGGAACTAATACTGAAGATTTTACCTTTATTGATAGTTGACTAATGTAGATGTTATTGAGTTAACTGTGCTGAGGCCTTACAGAGTATCAATTGTTCAGACAAAAAAAAAGCTTTGAGAATCCTTGTACATTTCATCTCCGTGGCATTCATGGCAGGTAAAATGCAAGAATCTGTTGTATCTTGAATTCTCTCAGATCTAATCTCTTACCTGGCCTCCCACTGGTCAGGTGGCGCTTCAGAGATGACTCTGCCCAGGGCATCCAGCACAGGAGGTGGCCTCTTTGGAAGAAAAAAAACATTCTTTATTTATTAAACTGAAATTCATCAAGTAGTATGTTTAAAGCTGGGCCTGACACACAGTCTTACATAAAGTTTCTGATGGTAAAGCTCAGTGAGCTGGCCGAGCACTGTGGCAGACTGGTCTTTGTACTGGGACACGGCGCTTGACAAAGCGTCTGCAGCAGCAGAACGAATGGCCTCCTCATGATGAGTGACGTCTCCAATCAGCAGCGAGCAGAGCTCAGGGACCAACTCCAGACCCAGAGATTCCCAGAGTCTGGGGAGGAAGGACAAGAGAAGGCATTGGTTCAGTTGCTGAGTTAATTATACTGTTTTTATATTATATTATACTGTCAAAAAAAAACAAAAAACGACAGAATGGTTAGAATTTCAATTATTTAAACATTTTTGACAGTGTCATGGTGATGGGTGAGACATGGAGCAATCAATGCTATTTAAAGAAAAAAAAATAGCTGGGAACTGGGAATGTGTTGTTGGAAAAGATCTGTACAAAGTAAAGACACTTTTTCCGACACACATATGCTGACCGGTGAGTTTAAGTACTAATTGAGCACTCAGCAAGTGGAAAAAAGGAATAAGAAATCATGTATTACATACTTTTCAGCCAACGCTTGTCCCTCCTCCTCGACATCAAATCTGGCAACCCAAAGCCTTCGCAGCAAACTCATTCCGCTTGCCTCTGTGCTTTCTGTAGGCAGGGCAAATTCCATCTCCAACAGCCCCTGAGCACAAGTAAGACTGGGTGTTATTATATATCTCATAGCAGGTCATGCACATACAAATGGGCTACATAATTTGTCACAAGTTTGCCTCCAAAGTTGTTAAAAGTAATGTTTTCTGGGTTTAGAAAAATAGTTTTTCATTTCCTAAAATCTGTAGAGAACAAGGGCTGAAATACACAAAATATGGTGACTTTCTCTGTCTGGAGAACATCAGTTTAACTGCCTGTGGGACAGGCCAGGCTTCAATAAATGTCAAAATTAAGCGATCCAAGGCTCACCCTGAGGGCAGCATCCCGAACAGAGAAGCAGGCTGACAGCAGGGCGTTGAGCAGGACGTCGATCTCTGACTGCTCTGCTACAGTGCAGCCATCTCCTCCTCCAGCACTGGCACACAGAGATGTCAGGCACTGAGAGGCCAACACCTGAAACACAGTGTGTGTGAAAAGTCTCACATCACAGGGCTAAGCTGCAAATCTGTCATCAGTGTGGCTATATTAGGTTGTTTAAAGTGGGATGCAGAAAAACAGAGGAACAGAGAAAAACTGAATTAAAACTGATTAGGAGGGCAAAGAAAAGCCAGCACAACAGTAACCAAGTCTCAAAGTAAGTAGGGATGTCGTCTCCTGGTTGATTGGTTGGTCAATGGGCTTTCATCTGACCAAAATTCTCATTGGTCAAAGAAACCGTGGGGGTATCTCATAAGGAGAAAAGCACTACATCAATTACAACAGATACAACATATACAACAGAATATTTGTGTATTTCTGAGTCCGTTGTTATAATTTCATAGCACAAAACAGTAAGATATAACATTACCAGATCCACATAACTTATGATGCTGCAAATACTAGCTTTGTTCATTTATAATTAAGTTATGCTAATAAGGCTAGCATGGAGAGTGCACTCAGTAGACATCTGTAGACAATGTGCAGAATGTTCTTCTTTGTATTGGTTGAAGAGTAGATACAATTTCAGTCAACCACGATTTTAATCTCTCTGGTTTACCTGGAGCCTTGGGGTGGCTGTCGAAATAACTCTGGTCAGTAGCAGCAGCATGTTGACGCGTGGAAGCAGCTCTGGTCCATTCTAAGACAAGAAAACAAACAGCACATGAAGCCATTAAACTATTAAATAAAAGGGAAAGTGTCACCGTTTTCAATGCTACTTCTTTTGACAACCAAGAACTTTTAAGTTACTGGTGAGAAAATAAATGTTAGGACTACTGAGAGAGCTCCAACTACAAAAGCATAAATGATTCATTTATTATCTTTATGTGAAAGTCACAGACAGAAAATGCAATTGAGACAGTTGTCTGTACCTCATCTATGACAAGGTCATCGCTGTCTGTGTCAGCCCGAAGCTGGGAGTGTTCGTTGATGACCTGCAACGCTTTAGTCATCATGTTCTCTGTCTCCTCTGTGCTGCCTGAAGAATCCCTGAGTGTGACGTTGAGAAGAGGGAAGCAGAAGGAAAAAGCAGGAGCCGAGAGTGTTGCCACATCTAAGGAAAAAACAATACAAAGAAAGACGAGAGTGATCAGCCAGACAGCACTGAAATCAATTTCTTATCTTTGTTGTTTGCTTCATCTCTAACTTTATAGTTAATTTTTAGTTACAAACTGTTGATATGTCCTCTTATATATCTTCTGCACAGAAAAAAAGACAATCTCAAAAAACCTTCAGTGTTGTATTGTCTCTTGTATCTCAAAAGTTTCCATCTCACATACTGCCATGATTTTGTGAAACCGTTTTTCACATTTTTTCACAGTAAGCGATTATAATGTCTTTGTCTTTACTATGACTTGTGTTTTTCCTGTTTTCATTTGTATTCTATAGATTTTTGTCTTATTTCAAGGAATCATTCATGTGTTATTGTTCCTGGCATGTGAGATTTGACTACCCTTTTACCTGTAGCTTTCATATAAATATGTCAGAGATGCACAATTTACTCATTTTCCATGATTAAATGAACGTGATCATTGCTATCTGAAATGCACAACTCAAAGAAAACTCTGCACATACAAAACAGCCCTGTTGATAAAATTATTTGGTTTTAACTTGGGTAAATCTGACATTAGAGCATTTCACTAGCCACTACAGGCTTCTCTGTGCACAGTCGCGTTTAATCTTAGCCTAGATGTGAGCCATTTAGAGAATTTTGTTAAGTTGTCTGTGAATAAGCAGATTTTCAGCAATTGTGGAGTTCTGGGCAAAATTTCATTTATATTTTACAACTAGAAGAAATCTTATTTAGATCTAGGTCCATTAGCAGGAATGTTGTACATGATGGTAGTGAAATCAGTGCTCTGGTCACTTCAATGCAAAAGTGCAATAAACACATTTTGTCCCTAAATCAATGAATAATCAAGAAGAATAATCATGATCTCACTATTGTTTGAAATAATTGTGATAATCATTTTGACCATGATTGCATAACCATAAAACACGTTTTACTTTCCGCGTCTGATGTTTACAATCTATTAGCAAAACATTATGCCTCTCACAAACATAGTTCTGTCAGTATGCTGGATTTCAACCTTTTCTTTCCAGTGATTCTATTTCGTCTGCAACTATGTAGCAGGTGTACTTTAGAACACTTTAGAAAACTTTAATTCAACATACCTTTAAATAAGTGGGAAAAAAACAACAAACATATCATCATTAGTAGGAACTTGATAAACAATTCAGAAACAAGATGTATAATGTGTGCTTCCACTGTATGTAGAAAAATTGTGGTTGCTTCTACAGTTGTTATTAACTGTCCAAAAGTATTCTGAGCTTTCACCAAAGTCCATAACTGTGCTCACCGCCAGTCTTGCCCTCTCTCTGTGGGACTGTGTGGTTATGCAGCAGCATCACAGTGCGGTGGGCTGCCGTGTCCAGGTCCTCCAGTTCCCAGGCCGTGTCCAGGTCACACTCGGGCTTCAGCAACCGTAAAGTCACATGACCCACAAGTACAGCTGGAAGTGGGGAAAAAAAAAACCAGACGAGGGATACTGAGTCGAGATGCCAGAACTAAAGCTGTGGCCATCAATAAAACACATCAAGAAAGGCCTTGTACCCAGATGGTGAAGGTGTTTGGGCATGACGCACACGCCGATGTCCAAGAAGACCTGCTGGATGCACGGAGCAGCCAGAGGGGAGTGGAGCAGCGGCATTAGGACCTGGAGGACAGCGGGCAGCTCCCTGGTGATCTCTGCTGGTCTCTCTATCAGAGTGGCTTCCAGCAGACCCACCATGCTCTGCAGCTCCACAGCCAGCTGGAGGCAGCAAGAGGTCAACAAAGAGAAATTAAAAATGTGCCATGTCACACACTCCATTTAAACATTAGATTTTGTGGATTTGGTTTTCTACCCCTTGAAGTCTTTTGCGAATCGCAGATTCCTTTTCCAGCTGGATTTGCATCATTTCCTTCTGTTTGCTGGTCAGCTGCACCTCATCTTTGATGCCTTTTTTCTTCTTCATCTCCTGTGAGATTAAATAGAAGGAAAAAAAAATACATTCAAATGTGTTCCAAACATTAAAACCACTAAATTAAACAATTATCTTGACAACTTCAATCTACCTCCTGTAGCTCCAGTTCAATGATCTGTTCCTTGTAAGAGTATGCCTTGTTCTCTCTCTTCATGTTTACTTTCTTGGTGTTTTCTTTCTGGGCACTGCAGAAAATTTACAGGAGACAAACAGGAGTAAATAAATGCCAAACAGACAATGAAAAGTTCTAGAGATTGCTGCTGAGTTTGGAAGTCCACAGAGGTGAAAGAGGCAGTAGGTTACCTCTGGATGATGCTGTTGTCATACAGTTCTCCCTCGGGTGTCAACATGATGGCGTACTCCTCCCTGGTGATTTGAAGCAGAGCAGGTCGGGAAAGCCCTTCGGTGACATGACTGATCACTCGTGGCAACAGCTTGTTGGGAGAGAGGCCAGAGAGGGCGCCAACTGCGTTCTTCACCGCCTGAAAAAAACAGACACCCAATATGTAACACTAGCGTTGCTTGTTCTGGTCAATTTAAACATTTGTTTAATTCATTAAAGTCGGGGAAGAGTTGATGAAATAAGGATCAAGACACCTGGGACGATTGTTTTTAGGTGACTGAACTTGTTTTGTTTAACCTCTTTTGCCCACATAAAACATTTTTTATAGACTGATCTAATATAAAATTTCGAAATCTGTTCATTGGCAGTTTTCACAGTAAAATTGAGTATATTTCCTTTTAGTGTAGGACATATGCATTTAAATTCTCTCTTTGCATAATGAACCATGTTTTGTTGAAGTGTTTCAGGTAATATGATGGTATTAAATTCAGACAGCTGCCATGTAAAAGCAGTGCAGAAATGCTATTTATGTATCTAAGTTTAATCAGACATGAGACCAGTTTTGAAAAATGCAAACACATTTTCCTTTGGGGGCAACAAGGTTACTTTGCATGAATGTCCAATAGATAGTACTTAGACATTTTCTTTCCCCAAGTTTGACTGAGGACATGTTATGAATGTAAAATCTCAACAGTGACTGGTGCATAAAAAAAAATTGGAGCTGTGTGCTATTTTCAGACCTGATTGTCGGCATTGACGTCCAGCAGATGTGGCAGAATCGCCTCCAGATTCTTTTCAATGAATTCTTCAGCTTTTATGTTCATGGAGGAGAGCAGAATAGGCCAGAGGCCACAGCGAGCTTCAACTGGAAAAGATATATATGGATTGAGTGAGATTATCAAACATTATGTAATACAAGCAATTATTAGTGTATAAAATACACTATTCCAACAAACCCCAAGGTTAATGAAACTATTAAAAACCTGGATTCATTCGTTCACCTACCTATGGATGGGTGATGAGTGACTATGAGGGTCTCCATGGCCAAATTCTCTGCTTCAACAGGATCCCCCCACTGGCCGGCAGAAGAACACACAACACACAGTGCATCCAGCAGGACACGAGGGGGAATGTAGCTGCGACCAAGCTCAGTCAGCTCTCCTGACTCTGACACCAGGACATCCTGGGGTAAAACCTGACAGTTTACAACATACAGTTAGAAACAAAAAGGCTGAGAAAGCAATGAACACATTCTTTCACTTTGAAATTGTATTATCTGCAGATATTCAAAAAAGAAACTAAAAGACACTGAGCCCCTCGAAACTGGATATGTACTAAAAACTAAAATGTACAATATGCTACTGTGCTTCAGTACATGTAGAGGAGCCTGATGGAGAAAAATGATTGCCTACGCTGAATGGCATGGCGATTGATTGATTGATTGAGAGTGGTCTGAACTGAATAAGCAGTCAGTACTTTGTGTTTGTTGATGACCACACGGAGTTCTCCCAGAAGGCCGTGGGCAAGACTGGATCCCCCCAGAGAGGAGAGCAGCTTCCTGATCGTCTGCTGTGCCCTCTTTCTCACACGCCAGCTCCGAGACAACAGAACTGCAACCGTGGCATGATGATACATCCTACAGTGTTAAAAAAATTAAAGCACACAAATTAAGTTAATATAAAATCTGTTTGTTTCCTGCACAAAACGTACATTATAAGCTTCTAAGTTGAAATGTTCATCCCACACCAGTGCACATGTGTAACTACCCAGTAAATGTTAGTTTTTCTTCATATCTCTTCTCTTCTAGGAGAGAATCTTCTATTCAACAATACATTAAAAATCTACAATATCGCTACAATATAGCAATAATAGAAATTACAGCATATACAGATGATACAATTATTTTAGTTCTGTCATACAGTAAATGTTTAAACAGAATTTTTGATCACACAGTAATCATTATACTGTATTTATATGGAATGTAAGGACTTTTCCCACCAGTATTGTTATTTATGCATTTAGGCTTATTCATACAGTAAACACAATCCCCCCAGGTATTAGCTACAGGACTACTAACAATAGTAAGGATAAGTCAGTTGGAAAATCTTGTGTGATAAATCACATATTAATATGTACCCAATAAAACAAAGTTCTGTATGGGTTTTCTGTTTAAGTAAACAGAAAGACACACTCACTGTGATTTGCTAGCCGTAAGCCGGTGAGCATGATCCAAAAACAGCCTTTCACAGAGCTGCAGCACAGTGAGCAGAGCTAGAGACAGAGTTTAATAGAAACAAGCCATCACTTTAGGTTGTGACATTTCAAACCACTCATGAGCATTTACACTTGTGCAATCCTGAATATGAAACTGGTCTTACTTTCTTCACTGGCCTGGGAGAGGAACTTCTCTGTAGTGAACAGTGGCTTCTTCTCATCTAAGATCAGGTTCCAAAAGCTGGTAAATTTTGCCTCTGCAGGGAGAAAAAGACAGAAAAGGCTGTGAATTCCTATTCTTTAACATTTTTTCCGCAAAAAATAAAAACAAGTAATTACTGAAACAAAAGCGTCACCTGTCTGCGTCTCCAACAAAGCCAGTCGACTCAAAAGAACAGAAGCTGCCACACCTTCTGCAAGCAAAGCATGCTGGGAGTTCTGTGCTGCAGCCTTCTCAACCGTTTGGAGGAGCAGGGGCACGAGGTCTGAGGCTTGAGCCAGAGTGTCACCTAAACAGAAAGGTGTTGAACTTCAGGTAAAGAATTCAGATCTACACTTCCTCCCGCTCACTACGCTCGACCAACAAAAACCACCTGATACAACCACCACAACAGGGCCTGAGGTCATTAGCTAGACTCTTCTCCTCTGTGGTTCCCCGGTGGTGGAACGAGTTACCAAACTCTGTTCAATCAGCTGATTCCCTCTCAGTCTTTAAGAAAAGACTAAAGACCCAGCTCTTCACTGAACACCTTTGCACTTGACAGCCCGAAAACAAAACAAAAATCCTATTACCTCCCACACAGCCTGCTATTAACATCAACGCCCTATCACACGTGAACTTGTTCTATGGCACTTATCTAGATTGTTTTCTCTTGACTAGATCCGTGCTTGTGTTGTATCTGCTCTCAGATATACGTCACTTTGGATAAACGCGTCTGCTGAATGAAATTGTAGAATTGTAGAATCTGCACACCTGATATGAAGCATAATGTCTTTGGTTGGACTGACCTTTGAAAGCTCCTAGCATGGCCTGAAGGTAGGCGTGTCGAACCAGAGAGGTGGAGGTCTTGAGAGTGAATGCTTTCTTCAACCAATCAAGCAGAGCGGTGGGAACTTCCACTGTGAGGCGACTGCTCCACTGAGACAGCACAGACACTGCATGCACCAAGGTGCCCTCATGAACTAAAAAAAATCAAGAAAAAATATTAGAGTTACAGACTGAAACATTGTACTGTGGTGTTGCAAAGAGTTTCCAGCACCAAGGTGAACACTTTTGGGATGACAAAGACAATTGTAAGTAAGTAATAAATCTGTGAAGTATTCTGACATTAGGGAGAGGAACTACAGACAGCAGTGATACCTTCTTGTTGTAGATAGGGAATAAACATCACAGTGACAGCAGAGCTCAGAGTCTGGCTGGAGGTTCCTGACACCGCATGGTGGCTGCAACTGGCAATCCCTACAACAATTACAAAAACTGTGTAAAACTCTGTCTTGTTGATAGACGAAAATTCTGAAGTGTCTGAAAGGCGTCTTACCTGACAACACACTCATCTTTTGGGCAACAATTGTGAGCTTTCCTTCAGACCCTGAAACCAAAAGAATTATGCTTCAGGTCAGCAAAACCTAACATTAGGACAACATTCCAGTTTAATGGGGAAATAATTGTTCACCTCCGAGGATCTTGAAGAGGTGTGTGACGACATCCTGCACAGCAGTGGGGTCACTGCACTGCTGGGCCAGGTTCTGCATGGCCTGTACCGCTTCCTCCATCAGCTGGGCATTATTGGCTTTCAACTGGCCTGAAACACAAACCATACCACTAACGAAATCCACATCATTATACTATATGGAGTTGTCTTATATTCTTTATTTCCCTTGTGACAACGTATGTTTTCTTGACCTAAAGTTGTTGCATAAAAGAGGGATGTAACTCACTGGTTTATGGACTAACGTTTCGAAGCCTTAGGTTGCCATCATGATTTTTTGAATACTGATGTGATGAGTAAGGGATGGATTTGACTGAGAACTAGGTGGAAAGTGTGCAGGACCATAAGCCAACAACTTGTCAATCACAAGGTGGCCATGCTGTAAAGCATACCCTCTTTTATAGTCTACTTTATTCTAAAAGGGTCCAAAATTTACCATGTGAACATAGTGACTGAGACCATGAACAGGTTAGGAAAAGTCCAGTGTTTAGTTGGGTGACAAATCTGCTTTACAATCACACTGTTTTTTTTTTTTTTCAACCAGAGGAGTATGGGGGCATTATTGTAGCAAGACTATTTGTCAATGCCTATGGAGAGTTGTCTGTCTGTATCTCAATCCGTTCGTCCAAGGTGAGATTTATCAATGTGTAAAAGAAGTTGTCAATGCGAACCAAAATCTGCAAAAGTCGTCTCACAATTTGTCTGTCTGCAATCAGGTTTTCAAATGTGTAAAAAAATTCAAATTCGGACATGTAATAAAAGTTGTCAATGCATACAGAGGTATTCGTAGTTGAAAAGTCTACGTATTCGAGTCGAGTGGCTTCACCATTGGCTGTCTTTTCACACATGACTTTTGCTACACTTCTACCATGAGAGATCTGAAACTGAAAAGTATCTGAAAATCAGGGTTTCTGTGTCCTGAGCTCAGGCTCAATTCAAGCGATTTAAGGCCTTACTTGCTATAGCCTTTCCGATATCCATGGCGTACTGACTGAGGTCGAGGGTTACAGCCGACAGCAGGCAGGAGACAGCTGGAAAGAGAACAAACAGTATTTTATTCGATGTATGAGCCTTAAACACGTAAGGATTAAAGACGATCATCGTAAAACTACAAGTGTCTCACTCTGCATAGCGTTCTCTGGACTGCGGAGCATGGTCTTCTGCAGGGCAGGAAGCAGTAGTTCCTTGAACTCAGAGTGGGACACGTGGCGCAGTAGGGAGCTGCTTTTGTCCAAAATGTGCTGTTGTAGTTTTGTCTTGCTCATGAGGACTGATTTTACGTACAGGTCCAACAGGGCACTCTGAAAAACAGACACAGGGTTGTACACTCTTTAAAAAGAGCTGAACGAAGTTACATTATCTGGGTAAAAACAGAACTGAACAAAACTGTATTAAAAGCAAACGTACCTTATGCTTCTCTATTGTAGCTTTGTCTTTCTGAGTGGTGCAGAAGTCTAAACACACGCCCAGCATGACCAGAGTTGTAGAGCTCTGATCCAGAGTCAGCAGAGTACTGATGTACTGATCAACCAGTCCAGGGTTCTGGTAAAGACACAAAAAATGTCAGAAATATCATGCATTCCTATTGTTCTCAGGCCACAGATTAGGATGCATGACTAAGGATTAACTGCTACAAGCAATAAAACATTTCCCCTTTTTGCTTTTAATAATAGTTCTGGACCCTATTACAGTAGCTGGTTCTATAACAGACAATGATAAATTGTATAGAAACCATGTGACATACATTGAGCTTAGTATTATTTTATTATTGTACTAATTCCCAACAATTATTTTAGTAAAATTTTTAACACAGAATTTTAAACTACTAACTGTCTAATTATCGTCCTGGCTGAATATCAGATAAAAATGTTTAGTATTGTTCCAGTTATCAATATTGCTTGTTTTGTTTTGTACAGATTCCTGATAAAATAATTTTACAATTAGCTTTGATGCAGCCACATCTCCGAGGCTAAACACGATCAGGTTAGATCCTCTTCTCTGGCAAGATCAATAGGTGCCTTTTACTACCAGTGTGTTCCACACTCACCTCCTCCCAGAGGTGACACAGTTTCTTCAGGCTTGATTTCTGAGCCGTGTTCTGGGCTCCACCCATCACCCCAGCCACAAGAAGGCTCTGAACCTCCACCTGAAAGAGCACAGAGCACTGGTTAACCGATACCTCTCCCCCGAAAAACAGGGATCCCCGTCAAATGTTGACTGAATCGTCAGCTCCACGAGGCATTCAAATAATTCACACACCAACATTTAAAGTTATTTTTTGGCCTTTTTGCCTTTATTGAACAGGACAGTCAAGAGAGAGACAGGAAAGTGGGGAGGAGAATGGGGGAAAGAGTTGCAGCAAAGGGCCATGAGCGGGATTCGAACCCATGGCCGCTGCATCGGGGACTATAGCCCCTGTACATGGGTCACCAGCTCAACCAGGTGAGCTAAATGACGGCCCACACACCAACATTTAGTATCTCAGTAAGAACTGGACAGCTGAATGTAAACACTCCTACCAGAGTCACAAACACTACTCATGTAATATTTCAGTTTCATTAGATTTTCAAAAAGCTTTTACTGACCATTTTCTTCCAGACAGCTCCTTCTCTTTTTTCTGGGGCAGAAAAAACGCTGGGCACTAAAATGCAGGTCCAAGACAAGCCGATGAAGGCAGCAGAGCCTGTGCTTTTACTGCAAACATAATGAGGCAACTATTAGAGGTAAGAAACGATCAGAATAATATGCAACCAAAGACAGATTTCTAGACACATTCAAATATATCGATTTCATCTGTTGTTTTTAATGTCCAAAACAACAACGGATTAATCCATTTCAGTTTTTATCCCAATTATAAATGCTTTTTTTGTGATTTCACTGATTCTGTTTCTTATTTGATAAAATACGGTGCCAAACTGCATTATAACAATGGACACTAACCAATATAATTCTGATCAAGCCTGTCAAGCACAGACTAAAAAAAATAAAGATGTGTAATGCTTCTATGATGAAGCGTCCCTTCTCTTCTGTAATTCCGTAAACGCAGAAATTGATTAAATGGCACCAAAGCAAAATTTACAGATAAAAGCCTGCAACATAAAGGTCACAGCAGTACCTGGGCTCTCCATTTTTGCTGATGACTCCACAGTTCAGCAGGCAGTGGAGCAGGCTGGTTACCAGGATGTCAGGCTGACTCTCAGCCAGCTGGCCGATGACAGAGAGGAGCTCTCTGCGCGATGCAGCATCCCTGACAGGCACAAACATTCATGTAAACACAAAGAATACAGACAATGAAGGCTAAGACAATGTGTAAAAATATTACTGTGTGTTTGGTATGTTTTCAAAGTGACTACATGAACCTACCGATATCTGTGAGGAGTGAGACAGAAGAGCTTGCATAGTCCTTTGACGGCCGGCTCTGGCAACTCTAAAAGAGAACGTTAAAAAGTCGTTATTGCTGATTGAAGCAAATACCTCAACATAGCATACTATAGTGTGGAGAATTAAACAGCACAAAATCCCTCACCTTTGCCCTTTATACACCGTTTCAAGTCTCCAAATATCTCCTTGCGCTCTTTCACGCTGGCTGTAGTCACTTTCACAGCAAATTTCTTCAGCGTGTCTGAAACCTGAAGGTACAGTTACATTTAGAATGAGGGCGGTCGAATCACTTCAGTTAAGTTAATGACATCACAGGGAGGCTGATCAATATATTTGACATCCTTGATCATAGAATATTTGGCATGCTTTTTTTTTCCCTTCAAAGAATACCTTAAACGGCTGATTAACAGAAAAGTGGATTATTTGTTTCAGCTCTAGTTACTTCTTTGCCAAACATATTTGTGACTCTTCAGTTACTGATTAAACCTCTAAAAACTCTCTCTTTGTTGCTTCAAAGTTGCACATTTACAAGTGTTTTTCATGAAATAATTCGTTCTTGCCTTAAAACGGCATTAACATTACACTGTTGCCTCGTCTCTTTTCTAGAATATGCAAATTTATAAAGTCCCTGCCTCTCTACACTCACACCTCTACACTCACTGCAGCTAAAGCAAACCAGCTCACCTACAACTCTGCTCAAACACCGTGAAACTACACTAAACCACACAATGGCAAGTTGGGATATTGTAATTCAGCCACATGCGTTAAAACTAGAAACCAAATGTGAAAAAGACAAATTATGCACAAAGTTCGTCCCACCCTGCGAGTTAACAGGGCTGGTTTTTTAGGTTTGTCACATATGAAACCCTGGAAGTCTAAATCTGTGTTAATGAAGCTTATCAGTACATTGCAGTTCAAGGTACAAATGCTGAGTAATGTGCTGACTGCTTATTTTGCTCGAACGAAAAACTGAAAAAAAAGTAATAAGAAATAAAAATTTTATGAAAATCATGACATTGTTTTTGAATTGTGGTTCAACAGAAATATTTAAAAAAAACAACAACAGCAAGCAAACAAGCATGATGGGACCCGTAAACTAATATTTTGTTGAACAACCCTTTGAGGCAATCACTGCAATCAAGTGTTTTCTGTAACTCTTAGTCAGACTTCTGCACCTGTTGACAGGTATTTTGTCCCACTGCTCATCAGCAAAGTGCTCTAATTTGTCCAGGACAGTTCTGTTATTTGTTTTGTTTTTTAATTATTCTTTTCAACCACAATTCAAAAGCAATGTCTTATTTAACTAAATTATAATTTAGCATTTATTATTATTATTATTATTACTTTTTTCAGTTTCTAGTTATTTGAGTGACTATTGTGAATTTAGCTTTTTCTTTAATGGAAGTGTATGAATGAATTTGAGGACGACTGCATGTCAAGTAGCACATAAAACACAACATATGGACATATTAACAAGGTAGAACAACAAGAACTTGGCTGTCGCCTGAGGGGACTTTAAGTCAAGACTGTGACCCTAAAAGAACCCATGACATATACAATGCTATTTATGCTTTTAGCCATCTATACTAACTTTTACAACAACAAAAAAAGGCATTCAACAATAAAAGCAGTGCTTTTGACTCAACTGGTGGTGGACAAGGACATGTTCAGCACAGGCAGTACTTTTACTGTCACCACCCTGTTGACTAATATACTGTACATACTGACAACTTATCAATTATCTAACTAATAGCTCTCTACTTGAGGGCGTGACTTAGCTCATCATCGTAACAGATGCTTGTCTGTTTAACTCTTCAGATTCAGATCTAGCAAACTTGGAGACAATAACTCAAAGTCTCTGAGGAGCTACTTTCTCAGACGGTGAGTAAAGTTTAATGTGTCTATCCTGTGTGTAGAGCAGCAGGGCTCGGTCAGTGTGAGCCGGTTACCGTCAGCTGCATCAAGCCACACTGAGGCTACGTAGCACCGAGCTAACAGCCTGCTAACCCGCTACTGCTGCTGCTTTCTGCCGCAGTTTTTCGGCGAAGACCAAAACACGCAAAGACATTTAGAAAAGCGGCGCTCAAAATACCGCGAATTTGGTTTCTGAGCTATTGTGTAATATCTCAGACTGGATAACGCACTGTTATAAAGCCAGCCACACAAACCTGCGTGTCCGCTGCCATCTTGCCGGTCTTGATGCAGGAAGGACTTGTTGATGTCACTACCGGGTCACAGTGGCTACGTAACCTCTTTAGCTATTTATGTAAACAGCAGGTTCACAGGAGAAAAGTACTTTCTCATTTATTTTGAAGAAAACCTGGACGATGATATAGGGTTTTTTGTACGACTAATTCTGACGCATGGAAAATTTCACGTCCAGAAGAAAAAATGGACAGACGCCAAACCGTACACTCAGCTCTTTGCTTTGGAATTGCAGCAATACTTCACTTACTTCAATTAAAGACTGTAAGACAAGACAGACATAAGAACAAACCATGTGCTCGGAAGCTTCAATATTCATCCCAGTTAAAAAAATATGTGTACACCCTCACTTGTAAACCCTGGAAAAATTTGCGATCCTGTCTTGTTTGTTGTTGTTTATTTATTTCATTAATTAATTAATTTTGGGGGGGGGGATCTTTATGTTTTTCTGTATGTATATTATGTATTTAATGTCTTCTGTTCTTGTGTCAAAAAAACCCCCAAAAAACAAACAGACAAACAAACAAACAAAAAAAACTGGTTCACAGGAGTCTGGTTTTTCATCTGTCATCACATGGCTGACAAATGTTTGCAACCTCCGGAATCATTATTCAATAACATACGACTACCTATATTACCAAATGTAGTGAAATAAAACATGTTTTCAACAAAACAAAATGCACAGTTTCTAAACTGCCAGTAAAACTCTCACTTTTCAACACATATTTTCTTTTTCCAGTCAAATGTTTCTATACTAAGGTTCTGTTTTCGCAGGTATGACTGAGATAATGAAATGTCCTTGAGGCTATGAAAATGTACAAGCAAACCAATAAGAAAACTAATTTAGTGTAGAGTAGTTGCACAATGTTTGAGCAGAGTCATAGATGTGGTTAACCTTCATCCTACCAACATCTTTTACATACAAAACCCACGAACTGGGGTCCATTTGGACCCCTGTGAAAATCTGTTGACTTATGATTTATATAATTAAGATCAACCATTTTTATACTTAGAAATAGTTTTATTATGTAAGTATAAACTTTAAAACATCAAAGTAAAATTCTGGTAACCTTTTCTAATACTATTAACACATGGATAAAAATGAATTCAAAATGTGCTCAAGTCATATTAAGTCATCATTTATAATAACATCACTTGGGTATTTTTTTGGATCCAGATACAGAGATGATTCAGAGACATTTCTCACATACTGTTGCATGCTATGGGTTTGGCCCCCAGTTTACCTCTACCCCTACCATGATCACTAGCACGTTGAGGAGACTGGTTGTCACCACTTTGGTCAACACAAGCTGGTTCAAATGATGCAGTGTCACTGTAATCAGATGGATCTGATATATGATCATTTCCTTCCTCTGATATGTCAGATTCTTCCAGGTCAGAGTCTTCATCTGCCTGTGAGATATTTTTCAGGGCTTGTGCAACAGTGTATCTTGCAGGACTTTGTTTGACATTATTCACTACAAACACAGAGAGAACTGTATGTTGTGTGAAGTAAATATGATGGAAAATTAGCACTTTCAGATGGGCTCCAAGTAGACCCCAATAGAAAATCTGCTGCTACCGCTCTAGAACACCCATGCATCTAAAAGTAACACATAAACTAGAACAAGCTCATATAGTCAAACAAACTCCTAAATCCCCAACTTTGTTGTGCCTCTGAAATTCTTGTGGTAGATGAAAAACACAATCTGGGGTTCAATTGGACCCCAGTCAGTTGGATTAAGTTTAAGAGAGAGAGACAGGGATTTCATAGATCTGCACATTCTAGAAGACACATCAGTGTAGAGTTATAGCTATGCCATTTTCAGGATATGAAGAGATTATGTAATGGAAAACCCTCTAAGTATGTAATTGTGATGCACAGATGAGTTTTTAAGGGTTAAATCAACCACCAGATGGGGCTTAATTGCATCTTTTTTGGCTCAGAATTTAAATTGCATAAGAATGCCAACCTATGTCTACAAGCTGAATGTCTGTATATTCATTATGTTCAATAAAGACACAAAACCAAAAAATTACATATTTTCAACATCCATAAAGTTTACAAAATGAACATATTCAAAATATATCAATACTGAAATACGTAATCTCCTGTGGTGTCAGGATCCCAGCCCAGGCTATCAGTCTCTGCTCCTCCTTTCCTTCTCTCCCTGTCTCGGTGAGCTGCTGTCTGATCAGCAGCAATCTGCCACACCTGAGCAGAGCCTGCGTCACCTGTCACCAGTCACCTGTCACCAGTCAACTCTCCTCTTTAATAAAACCCCAGCTCAGACCTCACTCTGCCAGACTAAAAACTCCAACTCATGACCAGATTGGTTTTGTTTCACATATCCCTCTAAATCTTTTGCTGCCTGCCACGATGTTCAAAAAACCCCAGACTCAGAACCAGCCGTCCTGTTTTCCTGCTTGCCCTTCCCCCTGACCCAATCTGCTGTCTAAGTTAGCCCTTTATTTAGTCTGTAGTTTGTTTGTTGTTTTCCCGGCATTTTTCCTCTCCAACTAAGTTCATCTATATCCTTTGCATATTCTTTGTAGTTTTGCAGTATTTGGCTTTATTTTGGGCTTGTACTGTATCCTAGCTCAACCTGAATGTGACATCTGGCATCTTTCTTAGTAAACTCTGCTGTTTGTAGGTCCATGTGTTTAGTGTTTGCCACCAGTCAGTTTTTATGTTTTTGGGTTTTCTGTGTTTCAGTTTCTCGAGCCTACCTCGTCTTGAGCTTGTTTTAGTGGCTCATTCTCCCTAGTTCACTCCCCTGGGTTGTTTGGTTGTTAGTTCTTTAAATCCCTGCACTTAGATTTCACTTTGTATTTGCATTTTTGCACACTTTTTCACTGTCACTGCTCTTCTCATCCTCACTATCAGAATCAGAATTCTGATTCTAGTGTCAGCCCTTGGGTTTTCCGTAGAACCCTGGATTTGGAAAACAGTAGGAAACAGATCTTTCAGGATACACATTATTTACACCTATTTGAAATTAGATTAATAAAAATTCTAAAATCTTTTAGAGTTGTGTATGTTTCACTCCATTCAAACAACAATGTGTACTGTTTGTCCTTTACTATTTGACTGAGTTCAATAGAAAGATAAAATAAAGGCTTTAATCTCTTTGTACTGCAAAAGATTCAATACTCTTTCCTCAGTATGTTATCAAAAGCTCAGATTTGCTGAATAAAAACTGCAGCATGTGTTACAAAACACCAGACAATAGTTAGAAAGTATGATTCTCTTTGTAATTTGGGTGGACTGGCTCTTAAATCTAGTTGGGTTTGGCCCACCACATGCAAGCTATTACACGCTGTTTCAACATATTAAAACATGGAACAAACATTCAGTTTATTGCAGACTCATAGTGGGCTATAAACTCTGCACATTTTTTAACAACATAAACAAAAGCACATCTTATCTCCATAGTGACCACAAAATCATTGACGTCAACATGTCTAACCACTGTAGCAATCAACCTTATCTATACAGCACTGTTGTTTGGCTTTACTGCACAGCATCTCTAGGTATTAAGATTTAGTCATTTTAAACTAGAGTGCAAAGGTGACACAAATCAACACACATTATAAAGCAGTGGGCTGGAATCTATGTAATCCTAATTTATGCTTAGTTAAATGTTCGTGTACAATACATAGTATGTCTGCATGTTAACTGCAATATTTTCATTGGGTTTACATTATTTGAAGAAATTCACATAGTCGGTTTTCACAGCAGCAGACACTGATGGTTCTCATTAGGGTCTGAACAGACCACCTGCAACTCATACTCAAAGTTGTCTTACAATATATGAGTTCTGATTAAATTACGTTTCAAAATTAAATAATAAAACGCTTAGTAAACACTAAGTGTCCATGGATACACAAAAGTGACCTGTTTAAACTGATTACACAATGTACATAGTTAGCGAGGCATTTCTCTGAAGTAAAAACATTCACCACCAGGAGTCACTATTTATTCTCCATAGATATATTAGAATTCACTATTGATAGCCCCAGGCCCAAACTTTCCCACTGATAATTTGACAAAAGTAACTCACAATATGAAAAGTTCAAGACGTGTCTGTTTTCCATTCACTTCTACCACATTAATATGATACATAGACCAGCTCAAATTTAGAAGTTAGGAGACCTTATAATCTGTGTTTTTGGGAATAATATGAAGAAAGAAAACACGTCTAATTATCAAAAAAAAAAAAAAAAAATCAGGAATAATTGGAATTACAATAAATCACTCAAAAATAAAAAGAAAAACAAAAAACATTTTAAAGATTTGAGACAGTCATCTGAAATATTATGTTACAATACACGTGGTCATTATTTCCTATCTGAAGCGATCTGAAGCTGGCACATGTTTACAAAGTTTGGCATCTTTTCTGTTTTCTCTACTGTCATCCTCTCAATCACTACTATACTCATTTTGAGTGGTGAATGTGAACCACTGCACAAACTACAACAGTAGCAGCCTAATGGTGTTTGCATACAATTATTCGCAATTCATAGTTGAACTTAAGGAGGTCGGGTGGCACCAGAGCACTTGTCCTCGTACGTTATCAGACAACGGCAAAGATGATAAGTCCCACAATGATGAGTGCCCCTACTACTCCAACGGCAATAAACAGCATCCTCATCCTCCTGTTCCCCGATTCTGTCTGTGTCTTCAACTGTTTGGTATTCTTTTCAAAAGCTTTACCCTGCAGAAAAAAAACACACACAATTAGAAGATGTCCCATCATGTTTTTGGTTTTAAATGCCTGATAATTGCGATCATAGGAAAAGACAAATCCAGAACTTCCATGATTCTTAAAAAACGACTAAGAAAACATATCCAGTGCAGGAAGCACATCTTTGTAGCAGACACAGCTTGGCTCTTATAGAATGCCAAGCGAGATGGGGCACACCAGGTAACAAACACTCTTTTTGTTTAAGTTCTGGATCTACTTCCACCATAAAACTGCCACATTGGACACTACACAGAACGTGAAAACCCACTTATTCTCAGGAGGAACCGCCATTAATGTCACAATAAAAGAATTACACCAGGAGCCTGTTGTGATCAATTTCACCATCGGTATTCCACTGGAAGTCTTTGTATCACCTATCCAAAAATCACATCTGTAGGTGGTATGAGGACCAAGATAACCTGACACTGAAATATTCATGTTCTGTCGTGGACCCACAGTGCGATCTAGCTACAGTAAATGGTCCAGTGAGGTCGGGACTACACCGCCATTAACACCCATGTTACCACTAATTAAGTGTGTTAATGTTTAATCATCGGCATAATCAGTCATATATAAATCAATACTTCACCCCATGTGCTATGTTTCCTTATGCTAACATACATTCCTCATATCTAGACATTTTATATCCTGTTCCTGCTTTTGTTGCATAGCCTACGCTATTTCATGAGGTATATGCATGTCACTGTTCTGTCATTTCATGTTCATGGGTCATGGTGAGAGACGGATATATTGCAAAGCGATATACAAAGTGTAGTTCCACTTCATGCTACATCTTGCTACATTGAAATACCTGTATCTGTAGCTACAATAAACCACAGATTACATTTAAGGTTTGACAGCTTCTTTTCTACATGTATGTAAGAGGAACTCTTTGTCATAGCTGTGTTCTAACGTCTTTAGAAGGCCATATTCAATGTTTCGATATTAATAATGCATCAAACGACTGTTCTAGTGGGTCTGCAAGCTTGTGACATCGTTTCCACACCGCTGAGTTGCTCTATAACGTCTACAACGAATACAAATGGTGGGATAAATTGAGAATCACAGTTATAATATTGGTGTAATCAGCCATACATGTTCCAACCAGAAACTGATTCAGAGGAAGAATAAAGAAAGCCCCACCCTGTAAGTAAACAGAATTGGTTCCTTTAGATTTGTTACATATTAATCCCTGGAAGTCTGAATATGTGTTCTTGAGACTGTCATCAGTCCAATTCAGTTTCATTGTAGAAATTCTCAGCCATGGCATTGGCTGGTTATTTTGCTCATGATGTGTCTTCTTGAATATAAAAAGCACCATAAGGACATGCTGACAATTAAAAAATGCAATTTCACCAAAGGAGGCTTTAGGTTTTGGCATTCAAATTACATTCTTATGCTTTGTCTTTTAATCAATTTATTCAAAGTTATAACTGAGTTTTACTTCATTCTTTACTTGTTATCTCTCATTGATTTATCAGTCATTTGTGAAGCACTTTGAACTGCACAACACTGTGGGAAAGGTGCTATCCAAATACAGTTTGATTGACTGGTTAATATATTGAGCTGCATGGATCCAGCAGATACAACATGAATGTTCATGTTTGTGGCCACCTGGCCAGCGCAAGGATGTTTCTGCTTCTTTCTGTCTGTTATTTGCAGCTATGTGGGCAAAGTATAGGGTTTATATTGGCCTTTTTTGCTCGTAAACGGCTGCTTGCAGGGCAATGTGGGAACGATGTGACCTGCTTGTCGACCCCCGGACGGACATTCGCCTCGTGGCATGTCCTGGACTCACTCTGTCATACCCAGGGAGACCAGCTTGCTTCATTCATCTTAGGAAACAATAGGAAATACCTTTCTAAATATAGCACCATAAAACACAATCAGGATGTAAATTGTACATTTGTTTTCCTCCCCAGCTCCACCTAAGGTGTATTTATAGACATCAATATGACATTTCATAGTTTTAATCCCAGGATGCCTGTAGGTTGGGAGGTTGTATGCTTCAGTCATTCACTTTTTACACACAACCCAGACACTTCCACAAAAAACACTGTGTAAAAATAGTGTCGTGTGATGTTAGGTAATGATTTTTTTCCACTTGAACAGCTTCTCTGTACTCTCCCTGCTTACCCTTTCCAGCAGATCTTCAGCTCGGTTCTCCAGCTCACCCAGCTTTTCATTTCTCTCATCAGCCTTGTTCAGGTTGTCCAGCATGATGTCCTTCAACTCCTCCACGTCATCCTGGGTCTGCTGCAGGCGGCTCTTTCCATTCTCCTGTGCAATCAACAATATGGTTTAAGAGTGAGACATACTGTAAATGAATCTAGTCATCTGAGACTTTTGGTTGAGTTCTCTTATAGTGAGATAGAGATGGATATGGCAATTTCTCGTTGGAAATATTCAGTGTAAGAAGGCACACAAGATGTGATGCTTTTTATGTTTTGGGATAAACAGAGGATCTCAGTTATCATTGAAAGTGAACATGGTCAGGCACGGACACCATGAAAATAATCTAAAGCCATGTTTGGTTGAGAAAATATTGGCTACATTAGAAATTAAAAGGTCAAAAACAATATCAAGCAAGTGTAAAATCTTTTTGTGAAATAGTGAAGTTTTTTTGTAATTTTTCCATTTCCATAAGGTTTTTCTGACGTGATACTCCAAAATGTGCACAAAAATGCATTATGGAAACATGGATTATGTAGATTGGAGCCCAGAAATACACAGCACTGCATATACATCATTTACAACTAAAATCAAATTAAACATAGGTGGAACTGCAAAACCTAATAGCCAAGTGGTTAGGGCGCATACCACGTGGCCAGAGGAGTAAATGTCCACTTTAAATGCCAAGTCCAGGATACACAGTTTGGTCAATAATGTGGGGAATAACATCAGATCACTAAAGCAGGACGTCAGATTCCCCATGTGAGCAGTTCCTTAAGTTTCAAGGTTGTTCTTCTAATTTTTGTTGACATCTAGCTTTTATTCCTACTGACTTTGAATACTCTTATTGTAGGCCACATTGGAATGAGTGTAACTAAATTTACTATAAATTTGCTATAGTGGCAATGTTTCAATAGGCTTTTCTAAAAGAAAAAAAGACTATTATGAAAGAGTTCCTTTTTGGTACTTTCCTCGGTAGGAAAAGTACCAAAAAGCAATGATGGAGATTTAGGCACTTAAAATGTGATTATCATGTCTCCATTTCCTCCATGCGTGTTTGGTAAACATTTCTTTTTTGGCATTTGCCTTTATTTAGACAGTGTAGTGAAGAGAGACAGGAAATGTTGGAAAGGGAGCAGGAGAACAGCATGCAGTGAAGGTTTACCCAGCCGGGAACTGAGTCAGGGACTCTCTGTTTGATGGCAATTGTGTTCATGTAGTATGCAGCCTAACAAGACAACTATCAATGTGCCCTGACAATTTTTTCAAAGGAAGTAAAATAAACATTGTGCAGACATTAGGTGGGTAACTGAAAAACAAACCAGTCCCTGCCTGCCTGATACAGATCAGACTTGCTTGCTGTTTTATAAACACCGCGACAGGCTTGCTATGAATTTTAGCGAAACAAATCATCCTCCTGTGACCTATTTTTCAAGTAGACTAAAGCTAAAGTACATGAATTTGTAACTTTATAAGAGTCCAATTATCTGAAGCAAGCAACAAAACAAAATCACTATGTAAAGTAACAATCAACAGCACTGAGTGAAACTTACGGCTTGAAAGAAAACAGGAACAAATCATGAGATATGAAAGTAATAAAATGAAGCAGGACAGGTTTTCCTAGATAGTGAAGAATGCATTGTAGAAGTCATTCAGAGGACTATAATGAGCAAAACAACAAGAGGACTGTAGCAGGATATTCAATTGTAGTTTGACCTCAGAGTAATTTGTATCCTGACAGCTTTCTTCTTCACCTCTGCCCTCTGAGCCATGAGAGGAAACCCGCATTTTAGAAGTTCTCAGCAACAGGAAACCAACAGACAGAACAAAACAACTACACGCTCAGCATCTTGATTCGCTTCACTGTCATTGTGTTGTAGGTACAGTTTCACTGTCAGCTCAGGAATCAGGCTAAAAAAGAGCAGCCCTGCATCTTATCGGTGATTTATGCCTACTCTGAAAGCCTGGTTATCTCATTCTGGGCACACCAAGCAGCTGAACAATAGTCTGTGTTTAAAATTCAGCCGACAACGTCTTAACACAGGAACTGCTGCCCGTTCCCTTCCTTGCTTCCTTCCTTCCCTCACTCCCTCCCTCCTGCCAGCATTAATGTACCTGGTATTATCCCAGGAAACCACACCTACACCACGTTATAGCCCGATCGTTACAGTCCAGTTAGTATGGAGCTTCGCCACACTTGAAACCATGTGCTGTGGTCACTCCTTGTATCAACAGTCTTGTGTTTCAGTAACACAGAATGACAGAGTCCCAGCAGCTTCAGTTTAGATTACTATGACTTGGATGAATGAGAATCTATAGACACCAATGAGAGTTCATTCATACTTCAGGAGAGCAGGACTGGGATACTCCTGCTGTTGACTGCGCCCCTCCCTTCCAAAAAAATTAAAACTACATAAATTGATTGAGTGAATCTTTCAAAAGTGACAAATACAAGACTTTTTAAAATTAACTTTGTTTACATCTATGTCTCAGTTCACTCCAGGGCTTCTCTTGGATGTAACCTACTGAGGCCCACTAACTTGCAATATTAACAACATTATTTATATGTTTAGCTTTATTTGTGTTTACTTTAATTCCTTCATTTCTTTCTACGATAGTTTGTGGATAATACTGACGGCAGCTACGGTGTCCTGCCCACCACCACCACCACCACCAGCAGCAGCAGCAGCAGCGGCGCTTGATGGGACTTTGCCCACAGATAATGAAAGGTCACGGATTACTTTGAAAAACACTACGCAGAAACTTTTCCCTCACTTCTCTCTCTTCTTTTATCTAAGATGTTCGACATTACAACAAAGCAGTAGAGTCGACAGAAGAGTGCTGTTGACCTACCATGTCGGCAGAGTGTCTGTCCGGGTCTCCGTCGAAGCTGTCACCGGGCTCAGTGCATTTAAAGTGCGACTCAACGCAACTTTATAGCAACAGGAAACGAAGCAAACCAGTTCTGCGGCTTTAAACTTGTTCCTGTCATGAAACACGTCGGTCGATTTGACGTTCAGCTCTTTTCTTTTCTCCCTCTTTCTGTCCCCGTTTCGGTGAACTCCCCGCTGTCACTTTCACTTCTCTCCGCCTGCGCTTGTGAGTGCGCTTTGTTTGCGCTCGTTAAGAGGCATTCACGGTTTCCCGGAAAGGTTAGCGTTGGTAGGACTGGTCACGTGACTGATGTCGAATCGATAATTCCGGACATCCCCGAGTCCACCTACGATGCTTCTGGTTGTCCCCAACCAGTGGTGCTTCTACACTAATTCTACTGTGTTTAATCACAGGGGCACATTAAAAAACAACAACAATGATATTTAAGCACTTACAAGTTTTTAAGTGCTTAAATATCATTGTTGTCGTTATATATATATGTGTGTGTGTGTGTGTGTGTTTTGTTTGGTTTTTGTTGTTGTTGTTGTTGTTTTTTTTTTTTAAATACATTGACTGAAACAATGATGTTGTCAGGATCAGGGCCAGTATTGAAATGTGTAACATAAGGAACATTAGAAATTAATCACATAAGTGGTTTGGTTTCCTGCCACTCAAACTCCACTATCACTACAGCAACAGGATATGGTGGTTGTGCTGTCTGACACACTGGTAGTGTATATTATGTATTACCAAAACAATAATACATATATTTTTAACCCACAACCACTGCTGCATCACTGACCTCGTTACACATACATCTCATTTAACAAGTAACATTAACCATCCATACTTAGCATGGGTGGATGCTGTTAATTACTTTACTCAACATTGTTCCTATAAAACAGTCCTGCATTATGTGGTGTCCTCCTGGAGGTGGTGGAGTCATCAAGAGTGCGGATGTTCCAATTGCACCTTAACTGTGAGTCCATGCTACCAAGTATGCAAGTCTGTACATGTCCAGGAAACAGTTACAGTTCAGGTGCGTCGCTCTAATTCATCCTAAAGACTAGAGCATAGAGCCACATTAGTTTCGATTTCGGTGCTAGAGCATGTCATCGTTATAAAGTGATCAGTTTATTACTCAGTCAGCACAGGGACCAGCGACATTTGGACAGGGGCACGCATGCCACTATCCCCAACTTACCACACCACAACCTAGACAGGCTGTTCACAGTAACTAACCTTTACCTTTAAGATAAGATAAGATAAGATAAGATATGCCTTTATTTATCTCACAGTGGAGAAATTCACAGCAAATGCAAATATGCACTTCAGTAAGATGTAGATATGCTTGCACTTCGCTTAAGTCTTTTAATGGTATACTAATTTATATTCTCTGCTCTACCCATTTCAGAGGGAAATACCAAACATTTGTTGCCCCACTGCTATTTATTGAAAGTTTTCTGGCACAGGTTGTACACTGAGCAGTCACATTAAAGCCACTGAGTATTGAGCTATTGCAGTACAATGTTCTGCTGTGAAATCTTGGTTCTGTGGCACTCATGTAGGTGTGCTTTTGACACATGCAAACCATTTAAATATTGTTGCAAACCAACACCACAAATGGCAGCAGTATTCCCCCAATAGAACAATGTGCCCAACTACACTGCACAAACTGCTCAGGAACCGCTCAAGGAACCCGACAAAGAGTCTACAGTGTTGACCTGGTTCCCAAACTCCTCAGATTCCAATTAGATCGAGCATCCACAGGATTTGTTGGAACTGCTAGTGCCCTGGTGCCATGGTCCCTGTGTCTTGAGCCGTTATGGCACCATGACAGGGACCTACACAGTATCAGGCAAGTGCTATTAGTGTTCGCTCTGATCGGCGTGCATCCTCCTCATCAGGCTCTTAAAGTGCAACAAACCACGGCTCTGTGCAAATAATGTAAGTTTACTCTGAGGACTGATCCAAAAATATTCACACGAGAAGCATGTGTGAAGTTGTGAGTATTTGTGATCATTTCTTCCTTATTAATCATTTCAGAATTTTAATTTTGCTATGAAAAGGCAAAACAAACCCTGAAATATTTGGGTGTTCTGATTATCAGAAATGGTTGTTTATTTTTTATGTGTTTCAATTTGCTGACTTTGGTTGATTTCTACATAACAGATTACATAACATAGTAATAAAACCCTCCTTCATACTTATTTATTGGATAAACTCGCTTTCTTGACATTGGCATTACAGCAAATATCAAGTTCGAACACATATAATTCATAGGAATTCATGGAGCACAAGGGTATAGGCCTAGATGATGGTCTGCATTGTAGACGGGGTGAGGAAAATACTTAAAAATGAAATTAGGATGCATGCCATATGTTATTTCCCATACTGACTGGAGGATATGAAACATCTGTGGTTAGTTATAATATGAGGTGGTGTCAATAACTTTCCTTGCATACAGTCTTTTCTGTTCCTCTGTTAATAATTAAATGACCAGCGGCACCTAAATGCAGCAGCACTCTTGGCAGTCCTTTCTTCATCTCCTTCATGCAGTGGGGAAACTCCAAAGAACTGCACAACAGATGCACCATAAACAAACTCATATGCTGCCTCACTGTTTGCTATCTGTTCACTGAGAGTCTGGCTGTATCTGACTTTTCCTTTACTTTCTCAAACATGTCATGAAGTTGTTCGGCACAGGAGGCCTCTGCAGACTTGCTGCACAACACTGTGTGCTGCTTGGACATTTCAGGGTGTTACCCTCTTATGGGCTGCGCAAGATTGTAAGAAGGTGACAGGCTGTCCTCCCTTTAAGAAATATGTGTAACATTCATATAATATCCCCACAGGGATGTGTCTGTGGTGGTGGTGCTTTTACATTGACATTGCCGCTCTTTGTGGAACTGTACATTGGAATTCTGTCATATATTTTTAAAATTCTTGTGGGGGTTTTTCTGTGAGGGCAAAACAATGGTGCTCTTGTCCGGCAGTAGTTTCTGTGCTTGGACATAAATGTGATATAGTTACACGTAAGTCTCTGCTGTGACGTACAGTATGCTGGATCACATTGAGACAGAAGCATGTTTTTTCTGAAGTATGACAGTCGGTCGCTTCAGAAGCTCTTAATCAAGAACGCTTCCTTGTGTGTGCCGCTGCCATGATTATGATAAGAAGCTGACAAGCAGACAACAGAACCTCATTGTGCGTCACTCATGTGGCCAGTTAAAGTTTTCTCCAACAGTCTTCAATTCATCCAGCGTGAATTATTTGACAGACAAAACACACCATTAGAGTTCTTCTGCTTATGGAAAAGGTCTGGGTACAAGTAAGAGATCAAGACATACTTAGAATTATGAGAAATGCATCCCATTCCATTCCTTGTAACTTGTGTAAAAAATGAAACATAAAAAGAGGATGTAAACAAATGCATGACGAAAGCTTAAACAAGGCCGCAAAAATTTCAAAGGAAACCAGTACTAGAAATGAGAAGTAGCATAAGTCACAAATTTCCTCCTAAAAAAACCTGAAGGGGTAAATCACCTTCTTTGTGTCAGTTTGTTAAAAAATCCCCTAAACTTCAATTTTCTGGCTCAATAAAACATTGGCTAAGAGACTGTGTCACCTGTTGCTGTGGCCATGTAAGTATGGCATATAGGGTTTAATAGCACTGAGAAACAAAGAAAAAACTGAAACAAATTCAAGCTCATCACTGAAAGATTTTGTATGGGTTTCTTTATACCCATGGCCAACTTCAATGGTCATTTTGTCACATATTGCTCAAAAAGTTTAACATTATCCTTTTGGAAAAACTGTGATGCTGAACAACAAATATTGTGAGAATAGAGACCAGAGGCCAGTAGGGAAATGAAACTCAATAAAGAGTACAGACTATGGGAAAGCACTGTGGGAGGAATAATAAGCGATTGTAATGTGTTGTGGGTTTCCCCAAGAGTATTTAGATATTTTGCTGGAATTGCAAACAAAACCATGGGTCTCAAAAAAAGGTATTTCTAAGGTCCTATATTATCCTTAACAGTGGGCTTCACTGAATGGTTTGAAGGGAATCAGTTACTCAGCAGTCTTCATTATGACATGAGGTTGTGTGTTGGAAATGATGGATGACATACTTCTTTAAACACTGAGGAGAAAAGAATCTGTTTTTTTGTGAGTCCAAGGCTCCATCCCCTGTCAATGCAGGCCTAATGATAACTATGAATAAATACAATTATTCTGAAGAAATACATGTAATACTACGTTTCGTTTTAGACTGAAATCCGCCTGGTCCTGTGGCTGCTTCTATTTACCTTAACACAAGTGATTGCCAAACCCAAGCTGAAGCTGTGGTGAAAGAAACAGTGTCATGTTGAAATCAGTGGACTGGAGTGATGATTCTTACAGTTCTACTGAATGGGGTCACTTGCACTTCTGCAACTACCATTTACTGCTTACGTTCTTACAGTTACTAGTAATACAACTGCAATGACTTTCATATAGTTGAACAGTCAGTACGCTAATATGATATGTTATGGAATGTTATGGTGGAAATGTAGTTTACCATAGTATCCCATACCATAGTAAAATAAATTGTTTCAAAAGTACAGTCTATCTACTATTGTTGCATAGTGTAGTCTGGTGTGGTTTATAACATATCATAGAATAATATAGTATAGTACAGTACAGTACAGTATAGTATGGTGTTGTTTGGGTAGTATCACAGAATAATGTAAGATAATGTAGTTGTATTTTATTCTACAGTAGAATGGCATAGCGTTGTTTTACATTGTATAATGTAGTATAATACAGAAATGTTTTGTGTAGCAAAGAATAGTATGGTAGCGTGTGTGTGTGTGTGTGTGTGTGTGTAGACATACACTGTTGCCGATAAAGTCACCATCAACAAGCTTGTGGACAGTACGCCACAATGTCTTAATGCTTTCATCTGTTTCAGGGGTGGCCATACTCAATATTAGTGACTGAAGGACATTTGAAAGAGTAATATTGGACATTCTAATGCATGAAATCCCCTCAAATACGTGTTTCCTGGTAAAGGGACCAAGGTTGAAAAATTGAAACAAAACCCTGAATCTTTCAATACCCCCAATTTTGTTTAAGCCTGAATACATCCATCCAACCATTATCTATGCACCGCTCAATCCTCACTAGGGTCACGGGGGGGCTGGAGCCTATCCCAGCTGAGTTAGGGCAAAGGCAGGGGACACCCTGGACAGGTC